GATGCTGGGCGCCGAGTGGAGCAAACTGCAGCCGGCTGAGAAGCAGGTGGACGGCAGGGGGCGGTGGATGGGGCTGGCAGGGTACCACTGACCTCCCCCCATTCAGTCGGACAAACCCCGCAGCCACAGCCCTCAAAGGGTGTGGAGAATCCCTCCTTCCGCCTGGAGAACTGACCACCCATGAGGCTTCCCCAACTTGTGGGAGGGTAGCAGTAGGCGAGAATAGACGTAAAATTTAACTAGTGTGGTCACCCAGCGTCTAAAGACGTAGGGCTGGGGGCTGGATTTTTATGTAAAACCTCCAGATTTTCAAATTCCGGTAATTTAAAGATTGCAAAAACATCAAGGAAAGATAACAAAACCCACCACCTGTTTGCACCCTCATAATTGGGATTTTAACAGGCAAAATGGGTGTAGGAGGGCAGCCTGGAGATGGGGATGGAGATGGGGCAGACAACAGGGGTGATTTATAAAGGCTAGAGCTGCGGTAGGGAGCTAGGAGGCGCCCTGAGCAACAGGCTGAGGGACAGGGCTTTGTCTGGAGGGTAGTGGGGAGCTCGGGGAAGGTGCAACACAGTGAGCTGAGTGATGGAGATGGGGGCCTGGCCTTGGAGGCCTCCCCTGCCCCCAGGCTGGGCCAAGCCTTCTCATGCTGCCTGCCAGCGGTACCTGGACGAGGCTGAGCGGGAGAAGCAGCAGTACATGAAGGAGCTTCGGGCGTACCAGCAGTCGGAAGCCTACAAGATGTGCACTGAGAAGATACAGGAAAAGAAGATCAAGAAAGGTGGGAAGGGCCCCAGCTCCCAGGCAGCTGAGTGCCTGCCTTGAGATAGATGACCCTGGCAGATCAACCTGTCCCCCTCCATGGGTTACATGTGGGGGTAAGGGAAGGAGGGTGTTCCAGGCAGGGGGAACAGCACGTGCAAAGCAGGGCCAGAGGAGACTTGGGAGGCTGACCCTGCCCTCCTCCCTCCCCCACCAGAGGACTCGGGCTCCGGGCTCATGAACACTCTCTTGAATGGACACAAGGTAAGCGCTCCTCCTCCAAGGAGAACACCTGGGTGAGAAAGGTCGGGAGGTCTTTAGACCCCCGGAGTGAGCCAGGACCAATGCTCACGGGAGGAAGTGAGTGCCCTTGTCCATACTGTGCACATGTGGCCGTAGGAATGTTGTTAAATGGACTCTAACCTAAGTGGTTCGAGGAGATCCCCCCTAAACTTGGGGGGTACCCCCTTAAAAAAAATTGCCACCTGTCTTGTCCCAGGGTGGGGACTGCGATGGCTTCTCCACCTTCGATGTCCCCATTTTCACTGAAGAGTTCTTGGACCAAAACAAAGGTGAGCACCAACTAGGGGTTCTTGGGGAAGCAGGTGTTGGGAGACAGGGTGGACCAAAAGAGGGCTCCAAGGCCGGAGACAGCGGATGGGGGGAATTTACCCCTAAAGGCCGAACCCTCCTCTTCCCCAGCCCGGAGATGGTAGGCCTGGCGGGGGTCACAGCTCACAGCTAGGGCGGAGGCCAGGCAAAGGGAAGGGGAGGAAGCCCCAGACTGACCCAGCTCCCCACTGCAGCACGGGAGGCGGAGCTGCGGCGCCTGCGGAAGATGAACGTGGCCTTCGAGGAGCAGAATGCAGTGCTGCAGAGGCACACGCAGAACATGAGCAGCGCGCGCGAACGCCTGGAGCAGGAGCTGGCGCTGGAGGAACGGCGGACGCTGGCGCTGCAGCAGCAGCTCCAGGCCGTGCGTCAGGCGCTCACTGCCAGCTTTGCCTCGCTGCCCGTACCCGGTGCGGAAGCCCAGTCCCCGCCTGACGAGTCCCGCCCCCACTAATTCCTCCCATAACTACCTGTAGCTCGCTCCCAGTCACCCGCAGAGTCGTGCCCTAGCTGACTCCTCCAACCCTGCCCCAGGACCTAGCGAGTTCCGCCTCTATGACCCTGCCCCGCGAATCCCTACGCCAGCGATCCGGCCTCGCTCCACAAACCCCCGCTTCCCTCCCCAGACCACCCTGCTAACCCCGCCTCTGACCACCATCTCCCTATGACCCACTAGTTACCCAAAGAGTGGCGTGCGCCCACCTTGTACGGGTGCCCCGCCCTAACTGGCCCCGCCCTCTGCCGCCGCTAATGGTTCCAAACTCTGGTTAAGCATCACTGCCCCGCCCTTCGTGACCCCTGCCAGTGCCAGTCCTGCCCTCACCCTCGGGCCCCCTGCTGCAACCCCCTCCGACCCAGCCTTTTTTGCAAGTGTCTTCAGTTGACCTTGGCTAACTCCTGCCCCACTAGATCCCCCATCCTCCACTAGGACCTTGCCTCCGCTAACTAACATCTGACCCCCGCCCACAGCTGACTCTTCATTTTCTCGGGCCCAGATGCTCTGACCACACACCCCCCACACGCACAAGCCTCAGGGGCCCCTCCCCAGGGCTCTGCCCTTATCCTCAGACCTCTGTTCCTGTGGAGCCCAGACCGCGGTGACTCCCCCGGCTGGGCTTGTCTGACCCGTCCGCTGCAATCTCCAGGCACAGGCGAGACGCCCACGCTCAGCACGCTGGACTTCTACATGGCCCGGCTGCACGGCGCCATCGAGCGCGATCCTGCCCAGCATGAGAAGCTCATAGTCCGTATCAAGGAAATCCTAGCCCAGGTCGCCAGGTGTGTGCACAAGCTGGTCTGCCCTTCCCACTTAGTCCAGGTGGGATGGCCCTGCATGGGGGACAGCCTCAGGCTAGACCTGCCTTGGCGAGCCTCTGCGGAAATGACTGCATTTCGCCCTCCAGTGGGCACAGCGGGGTGGGATCCAGCAGCTAGATCTTGTTTCAAGGGTCCTGCCTATGCGGGGTTTACCAAGTGGGACTTATTTGACGCACACAGGTAATGGCGGGACCACTGGGGGGACGGTGATCAGGCCCTGAACTTTATTAACGCTACTAGCCCCCCTTGACCAGTGGGATCCACTCCCTGGGACTAAAACATCCCCAAAGCTTGGTGGGTTATTCTGGGTGACTTCTGGCTGCCCAGGTTTGATGGGATCAACTCCAGGCCCCCCCACCCAGACATCTGGAGAAGCTGAGGGTGGCTGGCCTCTAGGCTCCCCCAGGATGGGAGTGGGGGCTGAGAGATGATGGTGTCCCCCATCACAACTTCCTTTTGTCCTGTCGCAGTGAGCACCTATGAGGGCGTCGGCCACCCCGGGGATCCAGAGAAGACCAAGCTCTGGTCATGGCCCCTCCCCCACCCCCACCCAGTGGAGGAGGGGGTTGTCCACCCTTCGGGGCCACCAGGCCTGATCCTGCACCTTGGGGCTCCAGCCCCCCCTAAAATGAAGTTTCTGTAGCATCCCTTTAGCTCTTAACCTCCCCAGCACCTGGAACCCAGAGAAGTCATCTGCCATGCACAATGAATATATAACCCCATGGGCCTCACAGGGCACATCACACTACAGGGACATGGGAACAACACACATGGACAGCATAACCAGGACACGGCTACTCAGCAGCTCACATACCTGGTGTGGGGAGGGTGACACAGGCTATACCAGCTCTCTAAGACCTGCCCCAGGACACAGGACAGAGAAAACGCGCACTTGACACACTGGGAGGGACTCTCTGAAGGTGCTGACCACAGTACGCCACACAGGCAGGCACTCTGCAGGACACGCCCTCATACTTGGGCAGGGCCCTCTACTTGTCGTCCTCAAATTCCTGCACTCCAAGATCGGGGTGCTGGTACTGACCACCCTGTCCAGCTGAGGGATGCTTGTGGAGGCAGTCCCTTTGCCACCGCTTAATCCAACTATTTAAATTTAAAAAAAGTGGAATTTGAATTTCAAGCTTGTGAATGTGTTTGTTGGGGAATGGATCAGAAGATGTGCCCAGGACCCCCAAGATGCCCCTGCTGGGGATCCCAGGCCTACCCTTTCCCAGACCCTGGCAATATGAATCCACGTCCTGTCTGTCAATGTGCCTGTTCTGGACATTTCACATAAATGGAATAACACACTATGTGGCCTTGTGTGTCTGGCTTCTTTCACTAAGCACCTTATGTTCAAGGTCCAACCTCAATGTAGTGAGAGTCATGTTTTGCAGAGTTTTGAGCTTTACGTAAGTTTCCTTACATCATCCAAAGCCTGCAACTTGCCTTTTTTCATCAAAGTCTGGTTTCTGAGATTCTTTAAAGGTGGAAGATTCTTTTACGCTGCCTTTTGGCATTCCACTGTTGATTATTGAGCCAAAATTTCTGATGCCTAGTGTTGTATTCCCAGGGCATTCTTACAGAAGCCGCCTGGTGCCAGAGCCTCTTCATTTGTAACCTGGGGATTGATTTATTCCCTCACCAAAGATGGCATGAGCACCCACTGTGTGCCAGGCACTGGGTAGCAGAGGAACGAGAGACCAGAACCCCTGCCCTTCTAAAGCTGACATTCCAGCTGGGGAGACAGGGCACAAGATTAGTAAGTAAAATATCTGATATGTCAGGTGGTGCTCAATGCTAGGGAGAAAAAGAAAGCTGGGAAGAGAGACTGGAGGCGGTGAGAGGAGGTGACATTTGAGCAAAGAGCTGAGGGAAGTGAGGGAAGGAACCACGGAGACCTGGGAGGTGTTCCAGGCAGAGGACATAGCAGGTGCAAAGGTCCTGGGGCAGGACCCTGTCTGGCATGTTGGAGGAACAGAGAGGAGTCCCCCTGTGACTGGAGCAGAGTGAGCCAGGGTGAGGGCCGGGAGGGAACAGGGGCAGGTCATGCAGGGATGTGTTGGTTGTGGGGAGGATTTGGGCTTTCATCCTGAGGGAGGTGAGAGTCTTGGAGGGCTGTGGGCAGAGATGGGACAGGATGTGGTTTAGGATATACCAGGGTAACCCTCCTCCCACCTCCTTGGGCTGTTGCAGGATTAAATTAGCGCGCCTTGCAGAAGAGTGAGCGCCCTGGCGCGCTCAGCTGTCCCAGTCCTTATTTGTGATCCCTGTTTGCCCGGGCTGCAGCTCAGGCCCCTGCGGACCACCCGGCGTCCCCCGGGAGCGTGCAGCTGGCCTTGGCAGTGCCCGAACACCTGGGGCCCAGCTCCCCCTCAACACCCCGCGGTGTCGCCTTCCTGGGAGGCTCGTGTTCCCGGATCCCCTTACACGGGCGGGCTCGGCTGTCGCCCCTGGGCGGGGGAGGGGAGGCTGCAGGAAGCAGTGGATCCGGCGGCGGCAGAGGCGGTGGCCCTGGTGGCCGAGCTCCTCCGGCCATGGAGAGTGCAGCGGCCCGCGAGGCCCGGGGGGCCGAGGCCCCGCGCCCGCCTGCGCCCCCACCCTCGCCCTCCGAACCCCCGCCCACGCCCCGCGCCCGCCCGCGCCTCGTCTTCCGCACGCAGCTAGCGCATGGCAGCCCCACTGGCAAGATCGAGGGCTTCACCAACGTCCGCGAGCTCTACGCCAAGATCGCCGAAGCCTTTGGGATTGCTCCCACCGAGGTGAGGGCCCTGGATGCCCGGCGCCCGAGGTCCCCCGGGCTAACTTGGGGCAGGGGTGGAGCTTGGACCCCTGAACTGGGGGCCTCGGACCCCCCATCCCTGCAAGGAGGGGACCCGATCTGCAGATCTCAGAGACGTGCTTCTCAGATCCTGAGGTGCCCATACCCTGGTGACTGCCCCTTTGCACGCCTTGCACAAAAGATGAGCAGGTGTTAGGCTTAGTGGGTCCTTAGATGTCCGAAAACCCACGCCACTCACCCAGCTAGGGTGCATCCCAGCCCTCAGGGAACGCCTTTGTGGTTCCTGGGCGAGGCTGCGGCCTGGGATTTCAGGCAGCCCATTTCCAGGCGAGACGTCGGAGGCGGTCGGGGTCAGGGGCCGGGCTGCAGAGTGGTGTGCTTCTCAGCCCCCAGAGGGCGCCAGCAGATACAGAAAGGCCTGGAAAAAGATAGTCTGGGGGTCAGCTCTCCAAAGGGTTAAAATTGGAAGCCTGCGAGGCTGCAGAGGGGGCATCTCTTCCTGCCCAAAGACTCCCCACCCTGCCCCCCATTCTAGGAGCCCCAGTCTCTTTCTTTCCCCTCACCTCATTCTGAGGTTCCCATGGGCTGGGATCCTGGTCGCCAGTGACTGGGCCCGTTTCATGCCTCTTTGTGCCTCGGTTTCCCTATCAGTCCCCTGAGCCCATTGGCTGATGGTTCTGCGCAGACAGTGGGGGATGAACGTTGTCATTAATTCTGGGCTCCCCCTTCCCTCGGGACAGATCTTATTCTGCACCCTAAATAGTCACAAAGTGGACATGCAGAAACTCCTGGGAGGCCAGATAGGGCTGGAGGACTTTATCTTTGCGCATGTGCGCGGTGAGACCAAGGAGGTGGAGGTAACGAAGACGGAGGACGCCCTGGGACTGACAATCACGGACAACGGTGCCGGCTACGCCTTCATCAAGGTGCCCGCGGGGGTGGGGGAGGTGACTTCCCGAGTGCCCGGTGACCCGGAGCTACCCACTGCCCCTCTCTGGTATCAGTGGGCTCTGGGGACCCGGGGGTGGGGTGGGGTCCCACAAGTGACTTTGAGTACCTGCAGAGGATCAAGGAGGGCAGCATCATCAACAGGATTGAGGCTGTGTGCGTGGGCGATAGCATCGAAGCCATCAACGACCATTCCATTGTTGGCTGTCGCCACTACGAAGTCGCCAAGATGCTCCGTGAGCTGCCCAAATCCCAGCCCTTCACCCTGCGCCTGGTGCAGCCCAAGAGAGCCTTTGGTGAGGGCCACATAGGGCCCTGGGGGCAGGCGGGTGGGGTGAGCTCATCTGGAAGTGGGTTCTCTGAATGTACAGTGCAGTGGAGGGTGAGGAGATGGGATAGGACAGAAGGTTCCAGATGCCTCTGATGACATGACAGGGAGCTTCTGGCACTGTGTCAGAAACAAGTAGGTAGTTTCTATATTGTTGTAGTCTGTCTGCGGGTGGGGGGAAGTTTGGGAAGATCAGGAAAGGATAAGGAGGCTTCCAGATCTGTTTTGTCACCTGGCTGAGAGCTCTTAAAGGACTGCTTTGAGGCTACAGTGAGTTCTAGAGAATGGTTTTCAAAGTGGGTTCTAGAATGGTGCTTTTCAAAGAAAAGTCTGCAGTTGGTCCATGGATGAGCTTGCCCTAGAAGTGGGCTTCTCAACCTCAGCACTATTGACATTGGGGGGCCAGATCACTGTGGTGGGGCCATCCTGGGCACTGTAGGGTGTTAAGCAGCACCTCTGGCTTTGACCCAACAGATGCCAGTGGCTCCCCCAAGTTGTGACAACCAAAAATGTCTCCAGATATTGTCAATGTCACCTAGAGGACAAAATCACACCTCTGCCACCACTGGATTGAGAACACCCAGTCTAGAGTGGTGGATATCCTGGTTTGTTGAGCAGACTTTTTTTCGTGGCTAGACTTTCTCAAGAAAGGAACTATATGTTCATTTCCGTTCTGGCACAGCCTTCTCTCATCATGGACTGACACTTTGAGCAGCACTGTTCTAGAATAAGAGGTTATAGAAGTGCCCTGGTATATCTGGAGAAAGGTCCCAAGGAGAGTGGGACAGGATGGGATTCTAGACGTACCCTGTTTCATGGCAGTGAACTCTGAAGACCATTCCTAAAAGTCCTAGAGCAAGGACTTTTCTAGATCAACCTTCTGGCCACAGGAGGGTTTTAAGCAGTTCCTTCTAGAGAGAGTCATTTTAAGATGAGGAGGGAGATTTGGGGGAAGAAAGGATTTCAAGCAAGTTCTCTAAAGATATACCCATAGACGTAAGGAGACCTTTGAAAGATAAGAATGTTCTGGAAAGTCTCAGCTGGTGGCTTCCCAGTGTTTACAAAGAGTGGATCCACCCAGAACACATGCCCCTCCCCCACGCTGTCCCCTCCAGATATGATCGGCCAGAGGAGCCGGAGCAGCAAATGTCCCATGGAAGCAAAAGTGACCAGCGGGCGGGAGACCCTGCGGCTTCGTTCTGGAGGGGCCGCCACAGTAGAGGAAGTGGTGAGTGAAGGGGAGGGGGGTCTTCAGGGGCTCTTGCACCTAAAGTTCTGCTGCTGAGTCACTGTGACCTTAGGTAAGACGTTCTCCTTCACCCAGCCTCAATTTCTCCACCTGCAAAATGGGTCTCCGTGGTGAGGCAGGGCAATAGTGGTCGTACAGAAGCATTGACACGTGAGGTCTCAGCCCAGAGGATGGGCCCAGGAGGGGGATGGGCTGGAGGATATCTGAGATTCTGACCCTCTGCTTTGTCCCCCTTATGCCCCCAGCCCAGTGAATTTGAGGAGGAGGCATCTCGGAGGGTGGATGATCTGCTGGAGAGTTACATGGGCATTCGGGACCCAGAGCTGGGTAAGGGGCCAGGGTAAGCCGGGTGGACCCTGGGGGGAGGATAGCCCACAGGGCGGAGGTAGGGGGTCCCAAGGGGAAGATGGGGCCCCAAGAACACCCTTACCCACTTCCCCTCCCGCTCTGGCAGCATCCACCATGGTGGAGACATCCAAGAAGACGACGAGCGTTCAGGAGTTTGCGCGCCATTTAGACTCCGTCTTGGGCGAGTTCGCCTTCCCGGACGAGTTTGTGGTGGAGGTGTGGGCCGCCATCGGAGAGGCCAGGGAGGCCTGTGGCTAGTCTGCCCTGGGGCCGAGCGCAGCCCCAGCCCGGAAGCCAGTCCCCTTCCCCAGCCCTGCCGGCCAGTTCCCGAAGCCCAGCCCTGCTCCAGAGCCCAGCCCAGATCTGAGACCCAGCTCCTCTCTAGAGCCCAGGCCAGTTCTGAGACCGAGGTCATCTCTAGAACCTATACCAGTTCTGAGACCAAGCCCAGCTCTGAGACCAAGCCCTGCTCTAGATTCCAAGCCAGCTCTGAGGCCAAGTTCATCTCTAGAACCTCATCTGGTTCTGAGACCCAACCCAGTTCTAGAACCCAGGCTAGCTCTGAGACCAAGTTCACCTCTAGAACCCATACCAGTTCCGAGACCAAGCCCAGCTCTGAGACCAACCTCTGCTCTAGAACCAAGCTCAGTTCTGAGACCAAGCCCTGCTCTAGACCCCAGGCCAGCTCTGAGACTAAGTTAATCTCTAGAGCCTCATCTGGTTCTGAGACCCAACCCAGCTCCAGAACTCAGTCCAGTTCCAAAACCCAGTCCTCCTCTAGAACCCAGGACAGCTCTGAGGCCAAGCCAAGCTTTGGCACCAAGTCAAGTTCTGGAACCCAGACAAGTTTTAAGACCAAGCCCAGCTTAGAGTTCAATCCCAGTTCTGGAAGCCAGCCCAGCTCTGTGAACAAACCCTGCCATAAAACTCGACCTGACTCTGGAAGTCAAGACAGCTCCATTACACAGCCATACCTAGACACCCGGTCTAGCTCAGGAACACCAGTTAGTTGTGAAACCCAGGTGAAACTCAAGAAGCAGTCCAGCTACAAAAGCCATGCCACCTCAGAATTCAAAGATGGCTCCCAAACTCAACCCTATTTACGAACCCAGACCAGCTCAGGAACCCAGATGTATGCAGCATTTCAGTCCAGATCCAGACCCCAACCCTACTCTAAAACCCAGCTGCACTCAAGTATCCACCCCCATTCTGGGGCCCAGTCCAGCTCCAGTGAGGAGTCCAGCTCAGAGACTGATGCCAGATCAAGATCCTGGCCTCCTGCTACAACCAGACCCATCTCTAGGATCCAGACGAGCTCTGGAACCCCACCCATCTCTGAGGCAAAGCCAGCCTCCAGAGCTCAGCTTGACACTGAGCCCCGCTCTCACAGCAGTAATCAGACCAGCTCCACAATGCCATCCGACTCTAAGACCCAGACTACCTTCAAGGCCTGGCCAATTTCCAGAGTTCAGTCCAGCTCAGGTACCTTACCCAGCCCCAGAATTCAGCTCAGTTCTGGAGCACAGGCTGGCTCTGAAATCCCATCCAGCTCCAAAACACAGTCAGTTGCTGAGACCCAGTTGAGTTCCAGAATCCAGCTAAACTCTGGAATCCAATCTAGTCCTGGGATCCAGACCAATGCAGCAACAGACCTAAGCTCCACAACACTGTCTAGCTCCAAGAGCAGACCCTGCATAGCTCAATCAACCTCTGGGACTCAGCTCATCTCGGAAACCCTGCCAAGTTCTAGAGACCAGCTCCAGGCCACAACCCAAGGCAGCTCTGGTGCTGAGCCAGATTTTGGGAAGCAGACTAGATCTGGAATTCAGCTCATCTCTAGAGCCCAGCTCAGCTCCAGGATTCAGTTCAGCTCTGAGACTCAACCCAACTCTGAACCCCAGGCCAGTTCAAGAATACAGCCCAGCTTTGGAGATCACCTCAGTTCTAGAACCCAGCCTGTTTCTGGAACCCAGCTCAACTTCAGAACCCAGACCAGTTCTGCAGCCCAGCTCCATTCTGAGACCCAGCCCAGCACTAGGGGCCAGGCCAGTGCAAGAATTCAACCCAGCTCTGGACCCCAGCTCAGCTCCAGAACCCAGTTTAGTACCAGGATTCAGTTCAGCTCTGAGACCCACCCCAGCTATGGGACCCAAGCCAGTTCCAGAATGCAGTCCAGTTCCAGAACCCAGCCTGTTTCTAGAACCCAAACCAGTTTTGGAACCCAGTTTGGCTCTGAGACCCATCCCAGCTCTGGAACCCAGCTCAGCCCTGAGATTCAGCCCAGCTCTGGAACTGAGACCAGTTCAAGAACTCAGCTCAGCTCTGGAGTCCACTGTAGTTACAGAACCCAGCCTATTTCTGAACCCCAATCCAGCTCCAGAACTCAGACAAGCTCAAGAATCCAGCTCAGCTTTAGAAATGGGCTTCACCCACAAACCCCTGGCCTTGACCCTAGAACCCAGCCTGATCCCACTCCCCAAGCCCGACCTCAGCCCCCAGGCCTACCACCCAAAGCCCTGACTCCAGTTCCTAGCAAAGTGTCTCAGTCCCAGCCCCAGCCCCATGATCTGGTACATAGAACCCAGACCAACACTGGCCTGGCCCGAAGCTCACCAACTTCCCACCTGGCCCCACAGCCACAGGCCCCTACAGCTCCCCAGAAACCAGCCCTTTTCCCCAAGCCCCAGATGGGACCCCATAAGTCCACCTCACTCACCATATCTGTCATCCCTAGTTCTGCTTCCAGGGAGGCCCTCCTGCAGTTCCAGCCCCCAGAATCCCCAGCTCAGGGGCCTGCCCCCTCCCCCATGCTCAGGGAGTTGGGGACTGCTCCATGAGCGTCAGAGCCCCTCCCCCACCATGGGTGTGGCTGTATCTTGGGAGTGACATTTTTGGCTGCTGTGGACCCCATTCCCTTTCCTGTCCCTCTCAGACCAGGTCCCCCAGAAGCAGCAGGTGACCTCATTCCCCCACAGGCAGGGGGAGGGAGAGTGGAAACAGGGGCTTCAGTTTCACTGTGCCTGGCTCTAGGAGTTGTAAGCAGATCCCAGGTCTGTGGAGGGGAAAGGGGGGTCAGGGGATGGTTTGTTCTTCATGTACCTCGAGGGCTCGTGGGGAATAAAGGCACCTCCCATCCCTGCAGCCATGTGTGTTATTTTGGGGGGAGTTTGGGGGAGAGCAGAGGAAGGGTCTAGGAGGCTATGACAACACTGGCTTCTTAAGCACCTACTATGTGCCAGGTGCTTCATAAGTACTCTCTGTTCATGTACTTGCATATACACTGCGCTCTTCAAAAGGTCAGTCGTTCATCCGTTCAATTGATCTTTATTGAGCACCAACTATGGGCCTGGTGCTCTTTGTTCAAGACATTGGGAGTCTGAGTGTTGAGCGGATAAATGGCTAAATGATAAGTTTATGAGAGAGTGACTCCGTCTGGAGTGGACAAAGCAGGTATCATTCCATGGTCTCATGTGTGTCTTTCCCTCTTCCTTATCTGGGTTTAATACCAGAACCCTCTCTAGGGGCTGTAGGGAGGATTCCAGGAGATCTGACCTGTGAAGTGCTTAGTAAAGACTCAATAAAGGAGGTGGGGAGAGGAGCCAGAACCCAGCCTTATCCTCTCTGCCCTCCCCTCACCGCCCCATCCACTCTCGCTCTAGGCTGCCATGCTGTTAGATAGCAATCTGATGCACCAAACTTCAATGACTGATGACTGACTTCCGGACCCAAAGGAAAATAAAGCTGGATGGAGATATGTTTTGGCAAGGGAGGGGGTGTCCTGTGCTTTCACATTTAATCTTTTCTAGACAGAGCCTTCTCAGCTTGGGGTGTCAAAGGGGATCAACTGTACTCCAGACAGTAGGTCATAGTCAGGGGTCAGAATCTCCCATTTCCTGAGGACTTCTGGAAGGGAAGCTTACAAGTCTAATTGCTGCCAGACACTCTCCCTACACCTCCACTCCCCCTTTCTGGGGTTGGGAGGGGGCTGAGAGAGGACAGAGACCTTGGAAAGGGGGATCAGGAAACAGTTGGGGGTGGTCCCCAGGCCTGATGGAAGACAGCTCACAGTCCTGCCACTCCAAATCTGTGTCCATCCTGCGCTCCCGGCCCCCGGACTTCAAAACGGGCAGATGAGACCGTCAGGGAGGACCGAGGTTGAATGGGAGACACATTGGCAGGATGTTCTGTCTGACTGTCCTTTCAGAGCCACACCAATGTCCACCTCTGGCCTTACGCCATGGTGGGCCTCCGGGTGAGCTGGGGCTGCAGGGAGAGCGACCTGGGCCGGGAGCTGAGGCGAGGGTAGAGGCGCCGGATCACCGCCCGGCGGAACAGGATGTACACCCACGGGTCCAAGATCTGGTTCCAGGTGGCCACGCGCAGGTAAATGAGCAGCTCTTTCTCGGTGTCTCGGGACAGCTGCCCAGATGAGCTCATGGCTGGTGGGCTCCGCAGCACTGTCTGGGCAATGAAGACCTGCAGAGAGCCAGAGTGGTTAGCCAGGAGTCAGGCCGGCTGCCAGCCTAGCCCCTCCACCAGCACCTAGGATCCCCTGAGATCAAGTGCCAATTCTGTCACTGCTGTGCTGTGTGACCGTGGGAGTGCTGCCTGACCTGTCTGAGCTTTAGTTGATGTGGCTGAACACTTTTCCTGCTCCTCTCCTGAGCACGATTAAATATGGTGGAAAAGAAGACTTGCAGGTGCAAACAGTTGAAATTACTGTTATGGCCAGAGTTGTTATTCTATTAAGCGCTTTATATTTTAAAAAAATATTATTGGGGAACAGCCATGGTCACTGGTTACACAATGCTTTCATGCTACAATGGTATATAGTTGACCCTTTAGGGAGGGCGCAGCTCACAGTGGCCCATGCGGGGATCAAACCAGCAACCTTGGTGTTATCAGCACCACGCTCTAACCAACTGAGCTAACTGGTCAACCCCCAGCATTTTATATCTTATAAACATTGTATAATATAATAAAACTATAGTATAAACTGTATATGAAATAATTTTTATATTTCATTTTATTTTATATTGTATTAAAATTTATATTACATAAAATGTTAATGACAGATAATTGTATATTACATAATTTTTATATTAAATTCTAGATTGAATTATTTTAATATAATTTATTGAATATTGGATTTTATATTAAATATTACATAATATGTGATAAAATATTTACAAATTATTATATAACAGAGTATTTAAAAATTATCTAAAAATTAATATACTGTTAATTATAATAGTTATATATTATATAGCATTTAACAATTATATATAATTATAATTATAATATATATATAATATATATTATATATATACTATATACTATATAATATATATAATTATCTATTATATAATAATTGATATAATTATTAATTATAATGCAACATAATAATTACATGTATTATATTTTATAATTAAAATTTATATTATGTTAAATGCAATTATAATTCATATTGTAGTAAATGTATTATATTAAAATAAATTATCATATTAAAATTCTATTAAAATGATTTCCTGAGCACCACTGTGTGCTGGGCAAGGCTGCGGACACTGCAGAGGACAGGAGAGACCCAGTTCTGCCCCCAGTTTTGGGGTTATCTGCGTCTTGCTCACAAGCTCCTCAAGGAAGGACACTGGGACCCTGGGGTGCACATGTCCACGTTTTCTTGGGTGGATGAGACCTGAGGATTTAAATCCATTCTGAATGAACCGGGGCCCGGTCATGAAGGGTGGCAGGAGCTTGGGGCAGACCCTGTACCCACCACTTACCAGCAGTGGCATCCAACAGACGCTGGCCACTACCATGATGCCCATGAGCTGAGCCATCATCTCCACCTCGCAGTCCCGTGGGCGTTGCTGGGCGGCCTCCTGCCCATGGTAGACATGGCACAGAGTGGCCACGCTGATCGTGTTGAGCACGAAGGACAACCCCACCGAGAAGCTGCCGAGGAGCGAGAACAGCAGACCAAAGGCCACGTCCCCGGGTTCGGGGCCCAGCGTGAGGAAGCACCAGGAGCCTGGGTACTGCATGGTGTAGCGGCCCACACCCAGCAGAGGCAGCAGGCCCAGCAACAGTGCAGCGGCCCACACCAGCCCCACAGTGGCCCAGGCGCGGCCCTGTGAGGTGGCCACGGGGCGCAAGAAGGGCCGCGTGATTCCCAGGTAGCGTTCTGAGGCCATGGCAGCCCCCAGCAGCAGTGGGCACAGGCCGAAGAAGACCATGACGACGCCAAAGAAGTGGCAGAGACGGCAGCTGGGGTCCACGGTGCGCCAGTCGAAGAGGACAGCATGCTGGGACACTACGATGGCACCAGTGATCAGCAGCCCCATGAAGTCAGTGAGGACCAGGCCACAGAGGAAGGTGAGGAAGGAAGAGCGTGAATGCGAGCTGCCCTGCCTTGCACTGGCCAGCACTCTCAGGGCCAGCAGGTTGGAGGCCAGGCCCACCAGGCAAAAGGAGGCAGCAAACCAGGGAGAGGCGATCAGGCGCCGCTCCTCCAGTGTAATGTTTGTTGGCCGGAAACAGGGCCCCAGAGAGCTGCTATTGTGCCACATGGCGCTGGAGTGGAGTGGGAAGGGTCACCACCCCATTGGGCTGAGACTGTAGGTGGGGTGGCTGACAATGGCTCAGGCACACCTGGCGGGGGCAGAGAGAAAGTTTACTGATGATTAGTTCTGCATTTTAAATTGAATGGCCCTGGTGAACTCCTATACAACCTTCAATGCCCTAACTCAAATACTCCCTTCTTAAGGAAGACTTTCCTGACTTATCTCACTCTGCATTCATAAGTTTTACTATTACCACTACCTCCAGCTCTGTCCTGCCCCAAACTCAGTGACCCTCAAGGGTGAGGACCAATGCTGTCTCCTCTGGGACCCTTGGAGGACATCAGTTAGTATCTGCTGGGTTGCAGAGATGGGCTGAGAAGCCCTGGGTTTGAACTCCAGCCCTGATGCCCAATGCATGACCCCAGGCAAGAAATTTTTTCTCTCAGAGCTTCTGTTTCTGGACTGGTCTCCTATCCAAGCCCTTGGCAGACTACAGCATCCAGGACAGATTTCAGCTGCTGTAAGACAGGATGTGTCCAGTTTGGGGAGGGCAGCTGGCTGTTGGCCAAAGGTCGCTGGCTTTTGCACTGCTCCTGAGGTCAGCCTTGTGGGTCACAATGTTTTGTAACATTCTTCCTCACACATTTTAAAATCATGTGGATTCTTTTCCCCCTCATTCTCATGGCATTGCTTTTATAATAAGAAATAAACCCAGAGGGCTGGCCGAGTGGCTCAGTTGGTTAAGAGTGTGAGCTCTGAGCAACAGAGTCGCCGGTTCAATTTCCACATGGGCCAATAGGCTGTGCCCGAGCTGAGCTGCCACTGAGCTGCCAACAGGTGGCAGGCTGGTGAGAGCACATGCTCTTAACAACAAGGTTGCCGGTTCGACTCCCACATGGGATGGTGGGCTACGCCCACTAGCAACTAAGATTGAACACGGCACCTTGAGCTGAGCATCCGCGAGCTGCTGATGGGCAGCTGGATGGTGACTGGACTTGGAGCTGAGCTAGCTGCACGCTCCACAACTAAGATTGAAGGACAACAATTTGGCCGTTCCCCTTCCCCAATTCCCCAACACTGTTCCCCCTCCCCAATTCCCCAATAAAATCTTTTAAAAAAGAAAGAAAGAAAGGAAGGAAGGAAGGAAGAAAGAAAGAAAGAAAGAAAGAAAGAAAGAAAGAAAGAAAGAAAGAAAGAAAGAAAGAAAGAAAGAAAGAAAGAAAGAAAGAAAGAAAAATTTAAAAATGCAGTCATTCTGGGAACAAAAAAAAACAGGTCATTTGGAACAACAGTTTCCCCAGGGATAGGCTATAATCAGCATCAGGAGGGACCCGTTACCCTGGTGGAGAAAACAGGAGAAACATCTGGGCTTGGGTGACACAAGTGTGGACAAATCGGCAAGATGTGTGGACATCAAGCAGCGATAAAATGAGACCATTCAAAAAAGCAGCTCTCAGATCCCAAAAAGGACACACCAGAGAGGACAAAAGGCTACCCAGGGAGCCAGAGCTAGCACATGGGTGCTGAGCCTTCTGGCCTGGGCACACACCACAAGTCATCCTTGTGCTGGCAGCGAGGGTGTGCCTGGTAGAGGGATCAGAATGGGCAAAGTTGGGGAGGTGGGACTGTGGGAGGGATGGAGGAGCCAGGAAGTTAAAGCTCATAAAGGTCCTATGATGATCTGTGTTTCTCAGAGGGTGCAAAAGGCACAGAGAGGTTAGCTAATTTGTCCAAGGTCATACAGCCTGGCCAGAGCTGATCTGAGATTTAAACTCCAGTCTCATTACATATAAATGTGTGTAAGTGATTCAAAAGTCTGCCCATCAGACGGAAGCTGGTGCCAGGTGGGTGCGGGCGTTTGCAATCATTGGAATTTTCTCTAAGGGGGGATAGAATTTTCTAAAAAGTTGATCAGACCAGATTCGAATCCTGGCTTTGCCACGTACTCTCTCACTGATCTTGGTCTCCTCATATCCTCACTCCAAGCCTCGGTTTCCCTTCTTGTAAAATGGGGCTCATGATGAGAATGAGTTTATCTGGGTACACATAGGCTTAGCACATTGTGGGTGCTCAATTTGTGCAAATGTGTCCAGCGGGTGGCTGCCAGCCCTCATCCCCCATCTCCATAAGTGGCGCCTTGGCCTGACCCCTACGCTTTACAACTCCTTATCTAGTCGCATAAATTATCCAGCTCCTGACAGCTGCCCTGAGCTTCCCTCCCAGGCTTAGGGCCAAAGCCACCACCACTTTGGTGGGAACGGGGCCTCGAGTGGGGAAACAGAGGCCCAGGAAGGTGGGGTGGGTGGAGGGGCTGCTTTCCACAGTGACTGGTGACCTTAGACCTCCACTCGGGGCCAGGGGTATGCTCTTTGCCGTCTCAGATTTGGTCTACACTTGAATCTCTCCTGGGACAGGGCGCGCCCTCCCTTGAGAGCTGGTATGTGCAGTTTCTGAACATTCCTGTGGACTTGGGCTGTGCCTGCAGCCACTGCCCTGGCCTCTGCCTCAAGTGACCGCCAGCCTCTCCTGGGTCTTACAGTCCCCTTGTCCCCACCATCCTGCAGGAGCTACTACACCACTCACTCGCCCGGGTACACACACCCCTGAGACTACCTCATGCTCCCCTATGTCTGGGAACAAACCTGTGACCCAGAGCCCTGGGGGAGGCTGGAAACTGGCACAGCTCCCTCTGGCCACAGCCTGTGGTTTCCAGTACTCCCCCCACCTCCCCACCCCGCACACACACATGGGGTCAGGTGATACTTGTCGTCTCAAGTTCCCCAAGCAAGTGGGCCAGTAGGGGCACCTGGCAAGGCCTCCCCTTCCCTTCTGACATTGGCGGGGAGGGCTGGCAGGCCTCCTACCCTGCAACAGACTATTGAAACAATGCTGTGTGGTCACTGGGGAAATCCATCTCCCTCTCTGGGCCTCATGGGAGGCATGGACTCCAGATTCCCACCCCAGGTTTGCTGGACAAACCCAGGATTCCATGACCCAAGAGTGGAAGGTTTGGACTTTGAAGGTCCAGGGTTCTGGAATTTGAATGAGTTCCCAGTTCTGGAAGCCTCCAGAGTCTAGAATTCCAAGGAACTGAGGTTCAGGATTTTAATGGGAGTTTGGCTGGGTCCTGGGTTCCAGAAATCTCTCTCAGCAACTGGCTCCTTACTGGAGGCTGGACAATTGGTTTTCTCTCAACTCACCTGCGTGAGGCTGGTGGGGTTTCCATCCACCATTGTCCCGTGGCCTGGGCACCGGCATCAGCCCGGCCCAGTGGAATGTGATTTTTTGGTTCCCAAGCACCAGGCCCCTCCCCTGACTGATCATCCGTCATCAACTGCCCCACTTTCCTCCTCCCCGGTCCAGCAAGCCATCCACCTCTCCACAATTCCCTCTCCCACTCACCACTTCATCCCACCCCCTGGCCTGCCAAACCGGCCTGTCCCCATGACTTGGACCCACCAGCTTCCCCCAGGCATGATGCCGACCTCAGACAAGCTCAAACGGAGTCCCTGATCTGCCACTGCCAAGCCGGGGGGCTCAACCTCGCTTAGCCTCAGTTTCCCCCCTCTGTGAAATGGGGGAGGCAAGGATGCCGACTCTCCTGCTGGCATTCTGGCGGGTCTTCCCGGGCCTGGCTTGCTCCTGCTGGGCGCCTTTACCTCAGCTGTGCCACCTGCCTGGTGTGCACTTCCTGCTACTGGCTGTGTTCACAGTATATCTCCTGGCCAGGTATACGGGGAGGGGGGAGGGGAAGCCAGGAGGAAGCCCTGATGCCCTGTGTGACCTAGCCCCGCTCTGCTTCTCAGCCTGTTTCCCACATTTCCTGCCCTCTAACTGCAGGACAGTCCAGGAGTCCGAAGACGCCCTTTGGCAGGAAAGTGCAGAGCCCAGGCCAGTCCCTGCAGCAGTCGGTCAGTCCCAGTCAAGGCCTGATGTGCTCTGCCACATCCGTGGGCACAGTCTCTACTGCTGTGTGTGCACATGCACGGGCACACACACACTACATCAGTCCCAGCACAAGTCCAATGTACTCACCCACGTCCATGGGAACCACCTCCACACCCGTGGTGCACACGCGGCCTCTGTTGGTCCCCAAGCCCGCCACGCCTCCCCTCACCACAATGCTGTTTCCGGGAACTTTTCCTGTTTGTGACACCAACCAGGCCCCCACTCCGGAAGGTGTACAATAGGGGCTCCACAGTCAGCCTGATTAGGTTGGAGCTGAGCCTCTGCCCAACTCATGTGGTCCCTCTGAGCCTCAGTTTCCTTATCTGTTTAATGGGCGTCCTCTCAGCGCTCTCCACTTGAGGCTGCCAAGAGGGCAACACAACAAGGTGGGTGAGATGAGGGGATGGGGCCCAGGCCATGGCTGTTGGCTAATGATGGACACAAGAATTACAGAGATCATGACCCATCATTGTGCGTACGTGTGTGCACACACACGCACACATACAGGCACATGTGTGCATGCATGAGCACACACACACTTGCTCCTAGCCACACCCAGCGCCCTGGCACCTTCCCTGTAGCACCACAAGATCCTGTGGCCTCGCACAGACACAGGAAAACACACACACACACACACACACACACACACACACACACATTCTCGGCCACACTGGGGCACGGCCACACATGACCACATATGGCCCAGGGCAGGCAGCAGAGCACAATGCCACATTCCAGGCACCAATGTCCCAGGACACCCAGCATCTAGCTGCTGTCACTGTCCAGCGTGACATACCCATAGCAAGGCAGGTGACCACAGAAAACACCCCAGCAACACCTGCCCACTTTCAGGTCCCGCCCCTAACCTGGCCGGCTCTGTCTTCACCTGGCGATGATGAATGGATGGGACGTGCTGGTTCGGGCCGGGGAAGCAGGCGGAACAGGGCGGTCCGGCCTCCTGGGCTCCTGGGTAAACCGAGTCACGGCAGGGGCGGGCCCACAAAGGACCCCGGGGCTGCCAAGTTGCCAGTGGCACAGGACGCCTCAGTGTGCGGGGTCCTGGGCAGGAGGGATGAGGTCCCCTAAGGGCTTGGAGGAGGATACGCCGGAAGCTAAAAATAGCTGGGGGTAGGGGCACCGCCTTGCAGGCTGCGCTCTGTCGGTCTCTATCCGCGTCTCAACGTCTCTCTGTCTTTCTGTGGGTCTCTCTCATCAGCTCCTCCTCCCTGCGCTGGCCACGCCTCTCAGTCCCCGGCCTGACTGATGGGGGTCAGCAGGCGCCCCCCAGCCTGCTAGGGGCGCCTCTCAGCCTCTAGGAGAGGGGCGCTCGAGGGACCTCAGGCCGCAGGGGCAGGGATGCGGTAGCCCTGTGGCCAGAGCCTTCCGTGTTCCCTCCCCCCTCCACTTGCCCGCTCCAGCCTGCCCCATTCCAGGCTCTCCTGCCGCATTATTCACTGTCTGGAAAGCACCAGAGGCCGGGAGGGGCGGGGCAGGGTCAGCTCCCTGGGGTGCCCAGACCTCCTGGCCCGGGGGCCCAGGTCTGTGAGCTAGTGAATCCGGTAGGGTTGGTTCAGGCACACAGTAGGTACCTAATCACTGTAAGGTCTGTTTCAGGCTCCTGCTAGGGCTGGGGGGTTGGGGTGCAGGTTGTTTAGATGGGAGGGGCAACCAAACTCTCCAGCCAGAAGCTCAGAGGGCAGCCTACTGAGACAAGCTTTCCTGGAGCAGGTGAGCAGGGAGGGCTGTGGTGAGGGGGGTAAGGGCACTCCTGGTGAGGATCTAGTGAGACAAAGGCTGGGAGTTGGCATTGGGGCCAGGGGTGGGAAAGCCTCTAGCAGAGCTGCTGTAGTGGGGTGGGGAGGTTGGTTTTCCTCCGCCCCCCACTTCCCCAGTGTAGGGTGATGAAGAGGGCCTGGAGCCTGTCACTGCAGGAATGATCAGAGGATGAGGCCAGGGAGCAAGAACAGAGCTCTGAAATAGGCGCCCCAGGCAGGGTCAGCTTCCTTGAAAGCCCCCACACATACTCGGAGCTCTTGGCCAGGGTCTCATCAACCCAAAGCAGTGAGCTCCAGGGTGACCAGACTGGGCATGGCTCGAGCAAAGGCGCGGAGGATGGATGGTTTTGCAGGAAAAGGAGAAAATTGAAAGTCCTCCCTGCCCACAATCCTGGGACCGCAGGTGGGTGAGAGTCCACAAGCCTGGGCATAGAGGGGTGAACTTGGGCCTTCTTGGCCCAGAATTAGGGCCTAGAGTGGGCCAGGACTAGCTGGCTTGGCCTTGACCCCACCCTGCCCAGTCCTTCAGGCCTGGGAGCGGAACACGAGTGCAGGCTTCTGAGTGAAGATGGACTCCAGCCCTGGACTCCCCTAGGCTGTGTCCGGAAGCCTCTTCTCTGGCTTCCCCACCCATCATCCTTTGGGCCTCCGGGCCTTTCCTCACACCTCCCAACCCTCCAGATGGCCCCTTCCCTGTTTCATCCCATTATCATTTGATATGAGTCATTTCATGAGTCATTTAACCCTAACTTTTCTTCCTTGGCAAGGCGTCTTCCTAACTCCCATGCATCTGGCAGAACTCTGGCTCCAAGGTCCCCTCTGTAAAGCCTGGATCTCCCAGACAGTCTGGCTCCTCTCAAACCCCTCCTCAAGGGCAACTCTGTGTACGGCCCATGTAGTGGGACAATTCTGAGCCCAGGTAGGACTGGAAACCAGACCTGCTTTCAAGGAACCCCCAGGCTGCAGAAAGACAGAGCTGGACACAGACAGTCCCAGCCCCCTGCAGTCAGGGCTGGGCCAGAGGAAGTGACAGGGCATAGGGGAACTCAGAAGGTGAGCTGGGAAGGCATCCTGGGGGGAGAAGGCACAAGAACTGGGGCTTCGTGGGATGAGTAGGAGTTCCCCAGGTCAAAGAGACATGGCAGTAATCACATGTGCAGAACTTTGGAGGCAAGAGAAAAGCATAAGACTTTGGGACCTGCAGGGAGGGAAGACATGGTGAGAAGAGGATGTGGGTTATGGCTCCAGATGGCAGGGGGAGAGATGGAGGGAGACTGTTCTGTTCCTATTTCCTCTGCCCTGAGATAAGGACAATGCTCCTTCTGGGAAACAGCCAGGGCAGGGGGCAGAGAAGCTCACTTGATTCAAATTCAGAAGTCTGGGTGTCACCACAGCTCTGCAAGGCAGGGGTAAAGATGTTCATTTTATACATGAGGAAACTGAGGCCCAGAAGGAGGAAATGATATGGCCAAGGCCACACGTGGGTAGGATTTGAACTTGAGCTCTGGGCTTCCTCCTACTCCTGGTGTCCTTCGGCCCCCACTCAGCTCAATGGGCACACAGGAGCTTGGGAGACTTTGAGATGGCCTGGGAGAGGTGTGTGTGCAGATGGTGGGAACAGAGGACAGGCTCAGGACATGCCTCCCGTGGCTGTGGTTTCCGGTGGGGGCCAGCCAGGGAGCATCTATTCTTAGCTTTGGACACAGCCAATGGCAGGAAGAGGCTGGGGTGGGGACTGGGGGCAGTTTAAGGGACACCCGGTGGATCTTGGGTCAGGGTGGGGGTGATGGGGCAGCTTGGTGGGTGCAGTGCCTCCAGCCTGCCTGAGGACTCTCGACACCCAGCTCGTGGCCCTGTACAGCTCACTCACGCTGTATGACTCCCCAGTGCCTTGGGGCGAGTCCAGCTCCTGGGCTTGCATTCAGCAATGCCATGGCCCCAGCACTGGGTGTACCAGCTGCCTTTTCCCCTGAAAGGTAGGCCCCACCCTCTTTTCTGCCCAGCAGCCCTCCTCCAGGAAGCTGTGTGTCCCTTCTGGGGTCCTCCAGACCCAGTGCCTTCTCCCCGCCCCAGACTGATTTCTTGGGTTGCTAGTGTCTGAGCCTAGCTCTCCTTCCTCCAGACTAGGGGCTGGATACTAGGGGCTGGCTAAATACAACCAAGTTGGGGGGTACGATCGTTTTGTACCTCCTGCCCAGTGCAGCTGTCTCCCTTGGAGTCGACAGACCATAGAGGGTATGTGAGGAGGAACCGGGACACTGGGGCTGAAAGGATTCCTCTGGGGACAGGCGGGGAAACAGGCTGGGACATGGGTGGTGGCCTGGAAGGTGGGGTTCTACAAGTTGGAGAAACTAGGTTTGAACTCTTGACTGCCACTTTCTAGGTTTGAAAATGTGGGCCTCAGCTTCCCCAAATGGATATACATCCTGTCTTGTGGGGGTAGTATGCAGTCCAGATGGGGCTGCAACAGCCACACACCGTCTGTGCTGTGAGAACAGAACGGTGCCTTTCCCATTTCCTGTCCAAGTTCTGTGCTAGGCACATAAGTGCCTCCTGGGTCTGCCCCAGACTCAGCCTGCTCCCAGAGGCCTGTCCCGCACCAGATAGTGGTTGCCAGCTGCCTGGAGGATGCCCAGAGGATTCTAATGTTGCTCCGGCAACTGGTGATTGATCAGTGATGTCTGCTAAGGGTTTTGACAGGGACCTTGGGGACCATGGGGATGGAAATGGTGGGTGTGCTGCCACATGGGTACTCTTCATCCTGGACTAGGCTGGTGGGATAGGCCAGCGTCTACAATGTGGAGAGGGTGCCCCTTGACCAGATACACTTCCTTGAGTCATCCCCTGGCCTAGGTGAGCAGCTACTCACCTCTCAGCACCCACGGTCAAGTGGAATGTTTATGATGGCACCCTCCTTGTGGGAGGAGAGGCCGTGGGCCCGAGGCAGAGAAGGAAGAAGCCTGCCAACTATAAGAAGCTTCCTAAGGAACTGTTGACTATTTTGAGGTGTCTGATTGTTTTTAAAAGGTCTTAATTGGGTTACATGCCTTAGTTGTGACAAATGCACTATGCTTATGTGGGACGGTAACGATGGGGACAGCTGGGTGTGCGTGTGGGTGCAGAAACTCTGGGCTATCTTTCCAGCATTTCTGAAAATCTAAAATTATCTAAAATCAAATGTTTATTTAAAAAGCATGCACCTTCATGAGCAAATTAAATGAAAATAAGATCCCCCCTCACACACCTAAAAAAGTCTTTTTAGAGAAACAACCTAAAATATTTCCGGATGAAACTGGGTGTTGGGCAGGACTGTCCCGAGGAGCTGGGAGGTGGCACTTCAAGGTCTGGTGTAGATTCTTCTCACTTTAGGCTGGAAATGTCTCTGTAATAAATCAGTATAAGAAATGTTTCTGGGGTTAGTCTGCCTGATGTGCTGTTGATAGTCTGTGACTGTGCGTGAGTGACTGTACCTGTCTGGGCTGTGACTGTCCCTGTCTGACACAGGAACAAGGAGGGTGGGCAGCTTTGTGGTGGCTGGGAGGTGGCCTGTGTCACGGCTGTCCCAAGGTGAGGGGAACGCTCAGACCAGATGGGGGCACTGCAGCTGTACCTATGGAGGCTGGGCTCCTGGGAGCTCCTGCCATCAGTGACTGAGGAAGGACATCTCAGTGACCCTTGGTTCCTGGACCTGATGGTGGACAATGATGTGTCCTTCACACCCACTTGGGGGGAGACTGACCCCACAGTCAGCATCAAGGGCGAGGTGGGGGGGACTGCAGAACTTGCATGTCCTTCAGATGGTCTCTTCTAGAACACACACAGCAAGGCTCCAGGACCTACTGCTACAGGCTCCAAGGGAGGCCAGCTGGGAAAGGGCCCGGGGTGTGGGTCCTGCTGCCGCTGGCTGCGTCTAAGCGCCAATCGACGCTTTGGACTTGGGTCTCCTGCTCCTCAAAAGCCTGGCATTCCACCTCCTGGCTCCATGCAGCCCCAAGCTCAGGGCTTGTCGCAGAGCGAGGCTTGGGCCTGTCTGCCCATGTGGACAGTGAAGTTGGCCGACACTAGCTGGGTTCCCTGGGCTCCGAGAAACCACCAGTGGCCCGGCACCTGCGTGTCAGAATCCTGGGCCAGGCTGGCCCGGCCATCCCCTCCATTTTCCAAGGCAGTTCCTGTGACCTGCTGTTCATGCAGACAAAGTGAGGGTGGCGAGGGGGAGGCCCAGCCTGGGATGGACTGTGAACCGGCCGGGGGTGGCTGCCAGCTTCACCACCGCCATCAGGTGGTCCTGGAGGAAGACGGGGCCATCACCGCCGGTAGCGGTAGCGCTTGAAGTGGAACCAGAGCTGAAAGATGCCGTTGGCAAACTGGCAACGGAAACCATGGCGGTGTGAATACTCCCACTCGCGATTGACGATCTTGAAGGCGATGTCCTCATAGGGGGGCCCGGCATGGAAGCGCAGGGTGGCAAAGTCCTTGTTGTCAGGGCAGGCCTCCAGGAAGTACTCAGGCGTGGAGCGCTTGTCGATGAGGTCAGGGTAGAAGATGTTGAACTTGTAGCCCTGCACGATCTTGGGTGGCGGGTTATCGAAGTCGTAGTGCGTCTGGTTGTACTTGTTCCACTCAAAGCCAGTGTGCACGCGGTTGAAGAAGCGCGGCTTGCGCGGTCGGTACTTGTCAGCCCACAGGTAGGCCTTGCCAGTCAGTGGCATCTCCACGCTGAACTGCGCCTCGTCCTGACCCATGCCCTCCTTGGCCCGCCGGAAGAAGATGTCCTCTGCGCTCTCACTCGCATCACCTGTGGGCGGGAGAGCCGTTACCCAGGACTGAGAAACCGCTGAGCCTCGGTTTACCCCCATCACAGGCCGCCTCGCTCCCAGGGTGGTGTGGGGGCAGCCCTGGCCTGCCCCGCCCTACCAGGCCTCTCACAGAAGACCTGAGAGTCAGGGTGAAGGCACAAGGAGTGGCAGGCCCCGGCCCTCAATGTGCCCCGCCTGTCCTGTGCCTCCATCCTTGGCCATCTATGTCCCCCGGGGCAGGCACCAAACACCATGTGTCCCCTGCTGAGTGGCCGGAGTGCGTAGGGATTAGACCCACAGGGGACCCCCATGTAGGGGCCTTTTTGAGGCTGTTTCTTCTCTGTATGCAGGACGATGGCGGCCTTGGGAGGCTGAGGTGCTCCCCAGTTGAATAGCATAAGGAGCTTTCAGCAGGGCCAGGCATAAGCAGCAAAAACCACCATCCTTCTGTCCTTGGGGTCAGCTGGTCATTGTGCCCGAATGAATGAACCAGTGAGCAAGTGATAAGTGGATGCTCAGACAGGGAGGAAGGGGGACAGAAGCAGGTCCATACAGACCCGCTGGCTGGCCCTGCTCTTCATCCCAGCTGGGCTGGCTGGCTGCAGCACGCACCTGTGACCTGGAGCTGCTGCCGTGATAGCTGCAGGCGCTGCAGGTCCTCATCAGGCTCCAGCACGTGGGCGTCCAGCGGCAGCTCGTGGGCTGTGAGCAGCCGGGGACTGTACTTGCCAGCGTCATAGTCATCCAGGCTCTGCTGGATTAGGTCCTCCTCCATGAGCACGGCCTCTCCCTCCGGCTCCCCCTCTGCCGGGGCTGCCCCCTCCGCCTCAGGGTCTGCGGAGACGCCCTCTGAGGAGGGCCCAGGAGGGGTTGGGGCCGAGTTCTCAGGCTCCAGGCTGAGAGGAGAGAGGGCTGGGTTGGGTGGGCGGTGGGCGACTGCCTGGCCCCTCGAGGTGGGCGGCCCCGGATGGGGAAGGGGTACTTCCGGGTGGGGCCTACCTGTGGCCAGGAGACTGGGGCTCCTGCTTGAGGATGGGGAACAGCGGCTCACTTTCCACGCCCTGCTCCTGCTTCAGCTTGTAGAGCTTCTGCCGCAGCACGTCCTGGTGCCGCTCGCGGAGCCTGGAACATGGGCTGGGTGGTCACCCCAGCTTGGGGGGAAAGAGGCCCTGCTCCCCCTCAGGCTTTCTCATGACTTCCTCCCCCTTTTTGCTGCAAGGACGCAGATGTTGAGAGGGTACTAAGTGGGTATGACATGGGCTGGGACCCCAGCCCACTGTGGCCAGTCCAAGGTCAAGGCTTTGGCCCTGTGTAAAAAGGACTTGGGACCACCGACCCTGGAGAACTGTCCCACGGCCAGAAGGGGCGGAACTGGCAGTGGAGCAGGCAGGGAGGAGGGTAAATTTAGAGGCGAGCACAGAGCGGCAGACAGGCTCTGTGTTTACACAGTGGGGCCAAGCATGCTGAGAATTTGTACACAGGGTGCAGAGCCGGAGGAAAGTGGGGACCGGCAGCCTGGGGGCATCCTGTGATGCCTACTGACCCCACAGGAGACAAAGGCCAGGTGCTCGGTAAAGGCTGGAAGGCAGGCCGCTGCAGGAGGCATAGGAGCATGGTGGGGGCCTTCTGGCTAGGGCACTGGCCTGTGGCCCCAAGGTTACTTAGGGGCCAGCCCCTAAGCATCCACTGTGCCTGGTGGAGGTGGTTCCTGTCTCCCAGGGAAGATCCTGAGAGGGACGAGACCCACCCAGGGCAGCATCCAGCTGAGGTGACCAAGGTCCACTGCCTGCTCACCTGGCACGTGCCATGTGGGCACGCAGCTGTTGCAGCAGGCTCTCCCAGTAGCCCATGTCCAGGTTGGGGCCCCCAGCCCGGATCTTGCCCTCGATGCCCTGGAAGATGACCTGCAGCTGGCTGTACGTCTTCCCCTTGAAGACCGACTGCACATCAGAGCTGACAGAGGCGTTAACGCCCTCTCGCCTCTCACCTGCAGTGGGGGTGGGGGGCTCAGCACAGGGCTGGGACTACCAACCTTGCCCACACTTCCTTTCTTGAACCATGTGGAGGAGCCAAAAGGTTCGCTTGGCAGCCAGACTGTCTGGAATTCAGGTCCTGCTCTACCGGTCCCAGCCGTATGACCTGGGGGAAGTGGCTCACTCTCTCCGGGCCTCAGTTTTCAAACCTCTGCGAAGCTCAACAAGGCCATGCATGTGAGCGCGGGCCTGCGCCTGTCCTGGACGCTCCGCCACAGCAAGGCGAGACGCTCGTTTCCCAAGCACTGCAGGAAGTCTTGATATTGCCCTGAGACAAACAGGCCCCTCTATCCTTCAGGGGAGTCTGTTCCTGCACCTATCACAGGCTGGGGACCCAGGAACATGTCCTTTCCCTCTAGACTGAGAGGCCCCCACGTTCAGGGCTGGATGATACTTGACCCTACGTGCTTTGGCACACCAGTCTCCTTCCTTATCAAAGATGCCAAGCCCTGCCCTGCCCTTTGCACATGTGCTACTTTCCATCAGCAACACCCATCCTAGTGCTGAGCAAGAGCGTCCCTTCTATCAGGAAGCCTTCTCTGCCCCTTGGCCTACACAGCTGCTCCGTGGCTTCCTGAAGGCATGGACCTCCCAGGGCTTCCAGTTGCTCTTTACCCAGCCCATGAGGTGCTCCATACATAGCTGCTGGGTGAATGAGGGGGTGAATGACCAGCCCATGCTCTCTGCTAGAAAACAGGCTTCAAGAACTCCTGCCACTGGACACATGGTCACCGCTGATCAGACAGGGTCGAGAGGGACCTGAGTCCCTGAAGCCAACCAACCTGGGACCCTGGCATCAGCATCTAGAGCCTCAGATACTTCACTGGGCACCTAAGCAGCCCTGGGCAGCTCTGGACGCAGTGGCCAACCCATGGGCCCGCAGCCCACACAGTCTGTGACAGGTACAAAATCACTGCGGGACCAAAACCAAATTCAGCGACATCACCAAGCCTGTGCTCACTCAAACGGACGAAGCCACTGGTGAAAACTTACAACCCAAACAGAAAGCCCCGCTGGCACCACTACCACAGAAGTCAAGCACTGATAAGTCATGTTTAAAGGAAGCCAGGTCCCAGGCCTGCACACCACCAAGCATGTCCACCGACAGGGCCTGCTAGACCTGTCTGGGGGACAGGGGCCTGTCATGTTGACTGGAGCACTCTGGGGCAGAAGGCAGCACCATAGGGAGAGAAGCACCTCCTCAGAGACCCTCCCTGGGAGAACCCACAGGAAATGGTAATGGGGGTGCCACTGGGGACCCACTTTCTACTGCACATGCTATGTACTTAGAATTTCCCAGTTATAGGGAGGGAGGAAGGAGGGAGGAAAAGAGCCCAAATGAATTTAAAGACAGAGCTGTATGTGTGTCCAGGGATGGTGGAGTCAAGACCTCTCAGTCTCCTTTTTCTCTTGGAAATCATGCTGAAACTAAAGCTCATCTTTGAGGGCACCTGGAGCCACCTGGGACCCCAGCCGTAACGTGTGAGGAAGGAAATCACACAGAGCGGTGAATGATGTAGAAGAGAAGTGCCACAGAAGCAACCACAAGAGAAGACTGCGGATTTGGCATCTGGGAGCTTTGGAAGTGGGCAGACATGTGGGGCAGGTGCCTCTGAAGGAAACAACCAGCCTAGAGTATACTCAGCCTCGCTGCCACCGGCCAGAGAGAAGCATTTCTTGACACTCAGGATGTCAAAGAACTTTCTGCCTTTCTCCGGAAGTTATTGCAGGATACGCCCTACCAAGATGAGGGCCAAACCACAAAAAAGGGAGATGCGAGGTCCCATAGAGGGGCTCCCTTACTGGAGTCAAGGGAGCCCAGGAGAGTGGCAGGGGCCAACCTACCTCGGTGGGAGGTGGCAGAGAAAGAGCCTGGAGACAAGGAAAGGAGGCCAAATGGGCTTCTCAATGTGTCTGAACACCTCCAAAGTTCAGTTGGAAGGCTGGGGTGGTGGTAGCCAGTGTCATGAGCAGATGCTGTTTCAAGTGTTTGATACTATTTACTGTATTTCCCCATGTATAAGATGCAAACTTTTTTGAAAAATTTGGGTTCTAAAAACTGGATGTGGCTTATACAGTGGTTGTACAGGTTTTAAAGCGGGAAATGCAAGAAAAAAAACCCTCTACAACCACTGTATAAGACACACCCAGTTTTTAGAACCCAAATTTTCCGAAAAAGGGTGTGTCTTATACATGGGGGGATACAGTATTCACTTCTCTTCATGCAGTCCTCCTGGATGGGTTTTATCATCCCTGTGCAACAAAAGGGACACCCAGTTCCCAGGAGATAGGCAACTAACCAAGGTCACTGAGCTGTTTGGTGGCGTGGATTTGTCCTCAGAGCCACACTCATAACTGTCACGCTGTACATGGGCCCTACAATGCCCTTTTAAACAGTTCTATACCCAGCCCCACTGCCCCCAAAGGAGACTTTCTGGACACGATGACAAAGAGTTTCCCTTCCTTTCTCTGGAAGTTACTGCAGGATGTGACCTGCTAAGAGGACAAGAGAAACAAAACTCCATTTATAAAAATAAAGGATATTCGTCCTTTTCCTGAGAGAAAGGAAACCGCCCCAACCCACATCTCAGCAGCGAATAACATTTACACAGGCCAGGGGGAGGGGAGGGCACGCATCTCTGGCCACCGGAAGGAGGTGACGGAGGATGGAGATTAGCAACAGGGACACGAGGGGGCGCACAGGAGCTGGAATTGTTAAAGCCATTGGCTTCAGTGGGAGAGCCTGCTGGGATTGGTCATGAGCTTTTAGGGCAGTGGTTTTCAACCAGGGTGATTCTCCCCCAGGACACTGGGCTATATCTGGGGACATCTGTGGTTGTCACACTGGGGGGTGCTCCTGCATTCAGTGGATGGGGGCAGGGCGTTGCTCAGCACCCCACAGTGCCCAGGACAGCCCCACAGAGAGCAACTGGGCCCTGAATCTCAGCAGTGCCAAGTAGGAGAAATTCTGCTTCAGAGCTTGTTTCCTTTGCGATTAGACGTGATCATTTTGAAAAGAAAATGAAAAGTGAGTTACAAAAGAACACCAGGTTGAACAGATCGGGGCTGAACAGGGTTCCTGGCAAGTGGAGGTGGGCCCTGCTTCCACTCAATCTGGCTGAGCCTCTGGAGAAAACTTGAAACCCAAACAAAAAAACGCCCTGCGGGTGCCGCTCCCAGGAAAGCCCAGTGATGCTGAGTGATCATTTAAGGAAACCCTGCACCCAGGACTGGCGGTTCCTGCTGCCCAGTGCTGCCCCCTGGTGGCTCCCAGAAGCCTCCAGAAGGCTGTGGAGAGAGCCTTGATGGGGAAACTGAGGTTTGCAGAGTGCCTGAGGCTTCCCATGGAACCATCTGGCCCTCAGCGGCTCCCACCAACCCAGATATGTGTCCCCAAGAGCACACCCTGGCGCCTTTCTCATCACCCGGCTTAGGGTGGGCGCTGGCCCTGCATTACCTGGGCCCTTGCCTGAGGCCTCCAGCTTGCGGAGCTTGGAGATCTCGTCCTCTGTGATGATGGTCATGTCCCGCCAGAAGTCCACGTTCTTGCCCTGCTCAAGTTCCATGTACACCTGGAGGCAGAGGCACAGAGGGGAAGGTTGAAGGCATGTCCTGGGGGGCCAGGGTGCAGGTGGCGGGGCCAGGGTGTGGGTGGTGGGGCTGGGCAGTACTTGGATGTCCTCCAGCAGGTCCTCCATGTCGGCGACCGTGAGGCCGTTGAGGAAAGTGTAAGGCTCATGCATCTCCACGGCCAGGTCGTCGTCCTCGGCGCTGATGTACTTGGCCAACAGGTCAATGGGCTTGGCCCGCCCATCCCGGATACGGATTTTGGAGCTGCAGGGGGTGGGGGGGGGGAGTGTCAGAGCTGAGGGTGTGTGCGCCCTCCCTCCTGAAGACCATGCGTGCTCACAGGGGTGACGGTGTGGGAGCCAGGGGAGGAGCTGGCCTGCAAGGGGGTGGTGGTAAGGGAAGACTTCCTGGAAGTGGAGGCATCAGGTGGAGGAGGAAGGTGGATCAGCGAGGATGCACAGGACAGGCAAGGGGCAGGCACAGGAATGAGCATGGGGTCTAAAGAGCAGTGGGTGGGGGTGGAGCCAGAGGGGAGAGAGGACCACCTCCTCTCAGTGAATGGGCTGCCCCAGCTGGGAGATCCAGAGCCTCGATGCTGTGCCCTCAGGGGCACGTGTCCGAGGGAGCCCCTCGACTAGGCAGGTGTAAGCCCCTGGCCAAGACTGGCTTGGCTGGTGGGCAGAAGAGAGAGGAGGGGGCTGGAGGTGGCCAGAGTACACACGCTGGGCCTGGGCCTGATACTCGTGTGGCCCTGAACAACTCATGACCACCCCCAGGAGCCTCATTTTCCTTGTCTGTAAACAGAGCTGATAACCCTGCGGGCCGTGAGAGGAGGGACTAGCGTAGTCGCAGTGGCCCAGGGTCCAGCACACTATGCAGCCTGCTGCCTTGGCCACATGGAGCAGGTGCATTCAGGTGTCTCCTCTGCACCCAGCCCAACGGGTAAGACAAGATGACACACTAGCAACAGGTGTGCACACAAAGCAGGGGCTGGTGCCAGAAAAGGGGTGAGGGAGGGCCTCCCAAGGAGGCAACAGGCAGAAGCCCAAAAGGTGAGAGGGAGCAGTTAGGGCAGTGGGTTCCAGGCAGCATGAACAACAAGTGCAAAGGCCCTGGGGCAGACATGGGCTCCATATGTTTGGGTCCCGAAGCTGGTGAATGGAGGGACGGGATGCAGCACGGTGGTGGGCAGACCCCGTGCCTCTCAGTCGCCCACACACCGCAGCTTGGCCTGCTGGAGATGGAAATTGTCCTCCTGCTCTTCCCAGGTCTTGAAGTGCTCTGCCTCCTTCTCCCGCTGCAGCATCTCCAGCTCCTGTTCACGCATGGCTTTCTCCCGCTCTCGCTCCAGCCGCAGCTGCTTCACCTGGGGAGATGTGGGAAGGAGGAACGCAGGACAGCTGGACAATGGGAGTCTTGTGGAGCTTGCCTGCCCTGCGTGCTCTCAGGCCATGGGGTCCCCTGGGGTGAGGGATAGGACTATAACCCAGGCCTAGCCCCAACCCGCCAGTCCTGGATACAGAGATTGGTCCAGGAATGCCTGAGGTTTCAGACAGACCCGGGGCAGGAGGGGCCTTCTTTCCGCTGGAGACACAGCAACTTGGACCTGGAGGGACCATTTCGGCCACTCTAAGAGAAGCATCTGAGAGTAAAGCCCAGAGGCCAGCAGAGTTGAGCTGGACAGAAACAGCTCGTGGGAGACACTGTCTGAATCCCTGGATCCCACTGTGCCTGAAGCCAGCATCTCCTGGACTTTCCATGTAAGCCAATTAGGTCCCACTTGACTTAAGCCAGGGTGAACCAGCCTTAGGGCCCAGATGAGGGAAGGCCTTCTGACCCCATGTGGGAAGGCCAAGCGCATCCCCACCTTCTGTAGCTCCAGCCGATTGTCCTCCTGGATCCTTTTGTTTCGCTCCTTCAGCTCCTTCTCCTCCAGATGGCTGATCCCCTTCTTCTCCAGGGCCTGGAAGGGTCAGTCACATGCCTGTTAAGCAGAGTTGACTCCCTCCCCGCACCACCCACCAGGGAGCTTCGATGCACTGGTGAACAAGACCGAGACGCATGGGCCACAGCATCTGCTCTTCAGTCGGGGAGAGTGAGGCATGGCCTCGCCCCTGGCCATGCTTTGCTGCCTTCCACCAGAAGACATGGCCCATCAACGCCTACAGAATCGATTTGAAACAGTCCAACCTTCCAGAGCCCCCTCTATCCACGAGTGAGATGTGTGCTAAGACACAGGAGGCAGTCGGCCTGCCCCTGTGGGGCTTGTAGTCTCACGTGGGCCTGCTGACTCTTCTCACACAGAAGCCTAGCTGCACTGACTGTGTGGTGTTGTCCTCAGCAGCTCAGATGCCAGCTGCCTGTCCAAAGAGGCAGGAATAGTGATTGAATGAGAGGGGGACCCTGAAAGCATGCTTGCCTGGGGTCACTACAGTGGGAGGAAATGGTTCCCCATTTCACAGAACCTTAGGGTACCATGAACACAGTCAGAGGTTATTTCCTGTGTCCTCACCCAGCGTTGGGACCCCTCAAACCCTCTGACATCACCTCACATTTATGGCCTGAGCCAGGCACCAAGTCCCACATCTCCAGACTATCACCCTCTCCCCAACCTGCTCCGGGGTGTGTTCAAGGATCCCCCTTTACCTGCAAAACACACCTCCAGAGGACAAAGGGCTCCCTGGCTTGGGGCCACCCCTCGACGTCCATGCCACCCCTTGGTCTCCCCAGCCACATCAATAACAGCAAATGCATTTCCCATCTCTATAGCCACACAGAACAACAGCTATGGCCCCAGATGGGGAGCTGGTTCAAATCCCAACTCTGCCATTCATGAGCGGGTTGGCCTTGGGCAAGCAGCTTAGTGGCCTGACACTGACAAGGTTGCAGTGAGAAAAGCCCTTTGGACAATGCCTGGCACAGAGTGCGTGTTCAAGTTCAATGTGACTGCCCACCCTGCCAGTCCAGTGGCCCTGAAAATGGGGACAAAATGTGTGACGCCGCCCAAACTGCTGGTCTGTCTAGCACCCTCCCTGGACTAGACAGGCTTCAGAAGCGGAGCTGGGGTCAACCCCTCCTGTGCTTATCTCAGGGGGAACTGAAGCCCTCCTGTGGGGTGAGCTCCCAAGGCTGGGCAGGGCTCCAACAAAGGCTTGTTGGGGAAATGCCTGAACACATGTGCGCCCTCAACACACTAAACTACAGCAAGCTTGTTCATTCACACTTACTGAGCGCCTACTGTGTGCCAGGCTCTGGGGACACAGCTTGCCCTGTGGCACTCACAGCCTGGCAGGAAGTATACATTATTAATTGGGATGTGTATTTAGACATCACCTTTGCAGTGCGAGCTTTCTGAACCCGCTTATTAAACTGCAGCCACCACGCACCCTGCTCTCTCCTCTTTATACTTCACCAACACACTTATTTACAGTCTGAGTCCCCCAAAGACTACTGGGCCCACAGGGACTGGGATCTTTGTCTCACTCGCTCGTGGATGTGTGCCCAGGGTCCATATGGTATCCACCACCCACAGGCACACGATACACATTTGTCAGTAAAGTGCTAGGAAGGGAGAGGCAGTACCCCAATAAAGAATAACCGGGGGAAGCGGGGACACCTATCAGAAGAGGGGCCATGTCAGCCAAGATCTGAAAGACGAGAAAGAATCAGCCAGGAGAAGAGATGGGGAATGTTCCAATGCAGAGGAATGGCAAGTGCAAGGGCCCTGAGGTGGAATGGGTTTGGTGTGTTCAAGACAATGGCAAGAAAAAAATGCCTGGATTGTGTGTGACAAGCGGGAGATGCCCTGGCCTCTGGCTGTGCCCACCTGCTCTCACCCTCCCCACCACCGAGGCACTGTCAGGTTGAACTGTGTCCCCCAAAAGATATGTCCATGTCCCAACACCCAGACCCTGTGATGGTGACCTTATTTGGAAACAGGGTCTCTGCAGATGGAATTAGTTAGGATGAGGTCACAGTGGATTAGGCTGGGCCCTAATCCAATGACTGGTGTCCTTATAAAGAAAGGGAATTTCAGACACAGACAGAGATGATGACACCATGTGAAAACAGAGAGGGAAGATGGCCATGTGACGGCAGAGGCAGGGACCAGAGTGATGCGTCTATAAGCCAAGGGTTTCCAGCAACCACCAGAAGCTGGAAGAGGCAGGAAGGACCCTCCTCCAGATTCCTCAGAGGGAGTATGGTCTTACCGACACCCTGATTTCAGACTTCTGGCCTCCAGAACTGAGAGAAATTCTGTTGTTTTCAATCATGTTCCCAAGGCCATGGCTGCAGGTAAGTGATTGGGTGTAATTTGCATCTCAAGAAGGAGCGGACAGCAGTCTCTAACTGGAATTCCTTCTTGGGCATGTGATGCTAAGGGCCACTGAGGTCAGGCTGGACTTGGGGGCAAAGCGCACCTGAAATGTTACACTGCAATACAGTTAACGGAGTAAAAGCTGGCAGAACCAGTGTGTGTATGCATGCATGTGTGTAAGATAAACTCTGCAAGGCAAAGTGCAGTCCGGGAATGTGCTCTGTGAGTGCCACAAACGTCTCTTGAAACAGAAGTTGTAAAACATATGTAAAGCAGAAACGATCAGAAAGGTAGGAAGAATGTGGAAATGGTGAAAACAACACTACCCGCCAGGCACGGCGCGGCTAAGACGGGCTCACCTTGTTCCAGATGAAGGTACCCAGGAGGTTGTTGTCGCCGAAGGGGTTGTCGGTGTTGGTGTAGCCCATGTACTCCTCGCCCCAGCCCATCTTCTCCCGCTTCTTCCTCTCCTTGGCCTCCTTCTTGGCCAGGCGCCGGGCCCGCTTCTCCTCGGGCGTCTCAAAGGCCTTCATCAGCTCCTCCTGCTGCTTCCGCTCCTCGCGCAGCCGCAGCCGCTCCTGCAGGCTCTGCTGCTGGCTCAGGGCCTCGGCCGCCTCCCGCGAGCTCTGGGAGAGGTCTGGCGATGCTGAGCTGGATGCAGAGGAGCCCGGGGACCAAGAGCGTGTCCACTGCCTGTGGGCCCAGTGGCCCCGCTGCCGCCGCCACTCACTATCTGAGTCAGACTGAGACGACCGGTCCTTTGAGCGCCATTGAGGGGGTTGTGGGCTCCGGCTCTGTCTCCCTCGCCGCTGCCACTGGTCCTCCTCTGAATCTGACCTGCAGACAGAATCACAAAGGTCTGCTTACTGCCTGCTGGTCAGTCCTTTGGTCGACAGATGTTTAGTGAGCACCTGCTGTGCGCCAGGTGCTGTTCTAAGTTCTGGGGACCCAGCAGTGACCAAAACATTGATGGCCCCTGCCTTCGTGGGGCTCACATCGACAAGTAAACACAGTATGATACTGGACAGTGCTTTGAGCCACAAACTATAATGACATAACATCAGGGGACAGAAAATAACAGAGAGGGTCTCCCTGCGGAGGTTACTCTGGAGGAAGTGGGGGAGGGAGCTATGGGGAGATCTGGGGGGAGGGTGATCCAGGCGGAAGGCATAGCAGGAGCAAAGGCCCTGGGGCAGGAATTTACTTGGCATATTCAAGGAATAATAAAGAGGCCCATGTGGCTGGAGCAGAGTAAGGGAGAGGGAAAGGCAGGGAGTAAGGGCAGGGAGGGAACGTGGGCGGTACGGTGCTGCAGCTCTACATGTATGAACCAGAGGATCTGAGCTGTCCAAAGTTATCAAGTGAGGGCTTACAGGAGAAGGTGTGCTTAAACTGGTCCTACAGAATGGGCAGGAGTGAACTAGAGTAAAACTGGCAGTGATAAAGAGCCAGGGAAGGGCAGTGGGAGCAGGGAAGAGAATGGGTGAGCCCCTAAGGATGAATTCTTTAGTGTTTCGAGGACTTTGAACATGGAGAGCATCCAAGTATGTCTTTAGTTTGTTAAATGTTCCACCTATTAAGCTTACATAAAAAATCCTGAACTATGGGTCGGCCGAGTGGCACGTTGGTTAGGAGTTGGCTTGGGACGCCAGCTCTGAGCAGCAGGGCCCCAGTTCGGATCCCACATGAGGGCCAGTGATGCTGCGCCCTCTACAGCTAAGATGGTCAACCTGGAGCTGGGCTGCCATAAGTCGCCGGCGACGACGTAGGCTGCAGTGGAGCTGGCTGGCAGCGGATGTGAGCGGGTATGACCCACTGTGAGCAGCTGTCTAATGGCCAGCGAGCGACTGCCTCACCCGGGAAGAGCACAATGATAATACCAACATGGGCCAGTGAAGCAACGTCCTCCACAACTAGACTGAAGAACAAAAGGACAGCAACTTGTCTGTTCCCCTCGCCCATTCCCCAATTTTTTTTTTTTTAAGATTTTTATTGAGGAATTGGGGGATGGGAACAGCGCTGGGGAGTTGGGGGAAGGGGAACAGACAAGTTGCTGTCCTTTTGTTCTTCAGTCTATGTGGAGGACGTTGCTTCACTGGCCCAAGTTGGCACCATCATTGCGCTCTTCCCAGGCGAGGCAGATCAGTCGCCGGCTTCTGGACGGCCGCTCACGGCGGCTGCTGGCCGCTCACGCTGGCTGCTGGCTACACACGGTAGCCCATGGCAACCCACTGCAGCAGGGGCTGCAGCCTACGCCGTCGCTGGCGACTCACAGCAGCCCAGCATCACTGGCCCTCATATGTGGGATCCAAACCCGGGTCCTCTGGCGTCCCAAGCCAGTTCTTAACCAACGCACCACTCAGCCGGCCCCCCAATTCCCCAATTTAAAAAAATAAAAAATAAATCCTTAACTATGAAAACCAATTATTTTGGAGTCCTTCAACAGGGACTACAAAATTGATCAAAGTTTTATAAACATTAATTACATATTTAGGGTTGGCTGATTCTTGTGAATAATTAAAATACTAGAAAACAGTAGATGGAAAAATACAAAGATGATAATAATAAGATTTATTGCTATATGTGAGCCAATGCTAAAATATCAACACCAGACCCTTAATGCAGGGTCAGCAAACTTTTTCTGCGAAAAAGCAGCTTTGCTGTTGCAGTGCAAAAGCTGTGTGGACGGTATGTAGGCATGGCTGTGTTCAAAGAAAATTTTAGTGTGGACACTAAAATTTGAATTTCATATAATTTTCACACTTTCCTTTCCATTTCAAAATGTAAAAATTCTTCTTGGTCACAGGCTACAGTTGGCCAGACCCCGGTTTAATACACTTTTTCATTATTTCTGTTCTGCTACTTATATCTTCCTGGAATTCCTGGGTGGCAATGATCTTAGGGGACGCGAAAGGAAAAGCCATCTTCTCAGGCTCGAGGGTGATCAGCTGTGCCTGATACAGCCACTCTGGCTATGGATGGTGACAACTGTGCCATCCTCCTCCTCCCTGGTGTCACTCCTGCCTACCCCTTCAGTCAGTCCCTTCTCCACACAAAAGCCAGAGGGAGTTCTGCATAGTAAGTCATACCACATCACTCCCTACTTCCCTCCAAATAATGGCTAAACCCTTCACCACAGTACAGAAAATTGTACAGAGTGTAGTTTTGTAACCACACATAAACTTCATTTCCTTAGCATGCATACTGCTTTAATCCAAGCTAGCTTTGTTCAGCCTCACAGAGCTATGACACCCTTGCACTCTTTTCCCCAGATCCTCCTACCTGTACATATACTGTGTGTCTGCTCTTTTTTTTCTTTTCTTTTTTTTTTATTATCATTAAGCCCTTAGAATATTAGGTTCCGGTGAACATCAAATTCATTTAAGAACAAAGCTTCAGGTCTATCAACCATGGCTAGGATATAATAACTAAACCTCAAACTAAAATAATGTTTTAATAAAACAATGATAACACCTTGGCCTCAATTATGTTTCAGCTCATGAAAGTGGAACGGCCCCAAGGTCGCATCCCTTGAGAATGTGAGCGAACAATACCAAGATTGACTCCAGGACCTGAAGCCATGATCAACTGCTCCTTGCCTCAGCCCTGACCAATCAGTAGAGCCCCCAGCCCAACTCCCATAGCAACCATGATTAATGATTTTTCTCTTATATATAACCTAGCCACTGGAGGCCACAGGGGAGCCAAGCTTTTGAAAGCAATAGCTCACCTGAGTCTCCCGACTTGGCTCCAACTCCTCAAATAAACCTTTACTTTCTTTGCATCAAATTCCTGCTCGTGTTTACTTCCAGCTTGGATGCGCACAGGCAAGGGGACCCTTAGTAACAGTCTATGGTAACAGTCTGCCGTTACGCCTCCCACTCATCTCCTACTCTCCTCCGCCGCGCTCACTGCGGTCCTTCTAACCACCAGGTTCCCTCCCTGCCTGGAATGCCTCTCGCTTTCCTTTCGCTGTCTGACGTCCCCTTTTCGAGGAAGCCCTCCCCCAACTAACTCAGGGGATCTCCCAGCTCCGCGAGGGCAGGAGCCGGATCCCCAGCGCTGTTTACAGAGCGACCCCACCTGCGCTCACGGCTCCGCTGCCTCCTCCTGCTCCGCCTCCGTCTGCGCCGACCCTCGTCGTCCTGACGCCGCCGGTTTCGCCGTCCATGGCTCCCGCTCCGACTTCGGCTCCGACTCCGCTGCCTTTGGCCCCTGCGACCAGCGGACCGCGAGCGGGAGCGTGTGTCCCGACCCATCTGCTGGGACGGTGGCGGCGGCGCTGACACAAATATCCAGGGCCTGCGCCAGGGACCTTCCTCGGCCGTGGCGCGCACCAATCTGTCCCGTTCACGCCTGAGTCGGGAGATAAGAACCCATCCCTCGGGGACTCTGACGCCCTGTAACCAGCCACTTCCTGCTAATGTGGTACGCGTGTTGGACTCCAGCCAGACTGTGGCCTCCAGAGTCGAGGATCGCTTCCTTCAGGCAGTGCTAGGGGCAGCCCCATGTGGGTCCTCGTGCTTTAGGATTACGCAAGGTGCTGTGGGCGGAGTTAGGACAAACCAGGAACTGAGTGGAGTGGGGCCTAGGGGGGAGGGACCAAGAAGACGCGGGTCCAGGGAGGAAGCCGAGCTGGTGTGGGCGGGGCCTAGGAGAAATCAAGAGAATGTGGCCCGGGGTAGAGCCAGGGAGGTGGGGCTAAGGAGAGGCCTATTTGGGGAGTGAGGTCTCTTGGCCCATTTGGGCGGGGAAACCCCAAGATGGTAGGTTCGAGCCCATGTATTTCAGGGGTTAAGCTTTTTTTAAAAACTTGAATAACTCCAAGTTCCCCATCAACCCATTTTATGTATGGTGAAACTGAGGCTCAGAGAGGGAGTCATTTTAACACACTTCCCTCCCCTGACCTCAAAGAGGCAGCCTGGAGCTGCGATTTGAACTTGGTGGTCAGCTTTGTTCTGTGAGTGCTTGGGGAACCGTGGGATACGGGGTACTGGCTGCTAGTAGGAGTCCCTGTGGGGCTGGTGGGGAGGATGGATCATAGGGAACAGAATTGGAGGCCAGGAAATCTGGAGGACCCACAAGTCCTGCTCCCAGCTCCCCCAGCCCATCCCAGAGGATGGTACTTAGTATTTTAAGTTAATTCTTTAAATGTTTATCTTAAAGTATAGCTTCATAACACCACCCTAAATGCTGGCTTTGTATGCTGTTTCTGCTTGGTACCAAGGTGCAGGGTGGGTGTGGTGGTGCAGATGGAGCCTTCCAAAGGAACCGTCTGCCACCACCCTGACAACCCTGCTAGTCATGGGATGTGGGTGGTCCCGGTGATGGGACCACCCAAAATGGGAGGGGGGCCTGGCCCCGTGATCTTCAAAATGCAGATACATCCGTGAGAGTATTTGAATACTAATCTTTGAACATAAGGAAAGCACATCCCAGAGCATGTGTGTCTGGTTTACAAATGAGCTGTGCCATTCTGCATCTCCATCTATGATCACAACTGGGTTTCCAAGGGCTCACTCACGGACAAGATCTGACTTTCAATGCAGTGGTTTAAAAAAAAAAAACTTTATAGGGAAACAGTGTGTTTTTCCCAGGGCCCATTAGCTCCAAGTCAAGTTGTAATCCTTCAGTCTTAGTTGTGAAGGGCGCAAGCTCAGCTCCAAGTCCAATCGCTGTCTTCAATTTAGTTGTGTGTGTGTGTGTGTGGGGGGGGTGCAGCCCACTATCCCATGTGGGAGTCGAAGCAGCAACCTTGTTGTTAAGAGCACACGCTCTAACCAACTGAGCCATTCAACCACACACTGGCAGCTCAGCTCAAGTCGCTGGCTTCAATCTAGTTGCAGAGAGCGCAGCTCACTGGCCCATGTGGGAATTGAACTGGTAACCCTGTTGCTCAAAGCTCGTGCTCTAACCAACTGAGCCACCCAGCCACCACAATGCAGTGTTTCTTTTTTTCTCTCAAGATTTTATTGGGGAATTGGGGGAGGGAAGAGAATTGGGGAATCAGGGAAGGGGAACAGACAAGTTGCTGTCCTTTTGTTCTTCAGTCTAGTTGTGGAGGACCTCCCTTCACTGGCCCATGTTGATATTGTGACCATTGCACTCTTCCTGGCTGAGGCAGCTCACGGCGGCTCACAGCAGCTTACGCTGGCTGCCGGCTGCTCACGCTGGCTACCGGCCACTCACGGGAGCTTACGGCAGCCCACTGTAGTCCCACTGCAGCCTACACCGTTGCTGGCGACTCAGCCCAGCTCCAGGTCAAGCTGTTGTTCACCATCTTAGCTGTGGGGGGTGCAGCGTCACTGGCCCATGTGGGATCCAAACCGGTGGCCCTGCTGCTCAGAGCTCGCACTCCCAAGCCAACTCTTAACCAACGAGCCACTCGGCTGGCCCCCAAAACACAGTTGTGTGTTTTTTAAAGCTGAGCCATCCTGTCACCTGCTGGCAGCTCAGCTGCAGCTCAGCTCAGGCTGGGACTCTAACCGCTGTTGCCCAGAGCTTGCACTGAGAACCAACTGAGCCACTCGGCCAGCCCTTGCAGTATTTCTTTCTTTTTCTTTATTGGGGAATTGGAACAGCGCTGGGAAATTGGGGGAAGAGGACCAGACAAGTTGCTGTCCTTTTGTTCTTCAGTCTAGTTGTGGAGGATGTTGCTTCACTGGCCCAAGTTGACACCATTATTGCGCTCTTCCCCGGGCGAGGAAGATCAGTCGCCGGCTTCTGGACGGCCGCTCACGCTGGCTGCTGGCTACACACGGTAGCCCATGGCAACCCACTGCTGCAGGGGTTGCAGCCGTCGCCTCACGGCAGCCCAGCTCCAAGTTGAGCTGTTGTTCAGCATCTTAGCTGTAGAGGGCAGTGTCACTGGCCCTCATATGTGGGATCCGAACCGGGGCCTTCTGGCATCCCAAGCCAGCTCTTAACCAATGCGCCACTCGGCCGGCCCTCGCAGTATTTCTTAAATTGGGAGTCTGCATTACTCAATTTGAGCCACTCTGGCAGAAGGAATACAAACTCTGGGGAGTGTTTGTTTCTTTGAGCTAGAATGCACTGATGTTAGAAGCTTTTAGAAGTTTTTCAAGCTGAACTGAAACCAGAAAGAAGCCACCCCTATTAAGGAATTTGGGTCCTGTTGTTATTTTAAATCTCATGAGGGTTTTCAAAGCCAGTATTCAAACTCCCAACCGGAGACCAGGGGAACACAGAGAGAGGCAGAGACAGCAGAGCTTCTTACCCAATTTATTAGATTTCTTCAATGTAAAAAGGGGCGGGGATGGGACCCAGGGCTGCATACAGGTGTTATGGGGCCAGCTGTGGCTGGACAGTTAGAGGTGCCCACAGGAGGCCACACTCTGGATTGTTGCACACCAGATCTCAGGGGCTGAGCACACAGGACCCCCGGTGAAAATTAAGACCCACAAGGTTTGCAGTTTCATTGTGTTTCAAAATCAGTTTAGCCATAAAAACAAGGTTGGGGTGGGATCGAGGGGCTGCAAGGAAGAGTACCATGGCAAGGGACCCCACTGGGGATGGGAGTATTGCACTGAGCCAGGTGGTAGAAGGGGATGGTGAGAGGAGGCTGGCAAGGGACTTGTGGAAAGTTCCACCTTGTCAGTCTCATGAAATGCCTTTTGTTTTTACAGTACCAGCAAGTCAGACGATGCCCACATTCTCAGAGACAGCAGCCATGGAGGGAGGGGGATGACCCAGGAGGGAAACTGGGCAATTTACAGATTTCCATCCTGGAGGAGGCAGGGTAACAGCTGGGTGGGTCCAGGGCCTTCCTGGCAGGAGGTCTGGGGAAGGCTATGAGTTCACTACATATTATAAATAAGGTCTTGCCTCCCCCCACCCTTACCCCTAAAAAGAATAAACAAATGCCTCACATCTGCACAGTCCTGGGACTACTTTAGCATTGAGGTGACCATTCTCTGAAAGACAAAGAATGAAACACAAAATGGGTCTCCAAAGGGATCTTCATGACTTAACATGAAAATAGAAATGTCATGATATCCAGATTTGCAAATTTCTCCTACAAGTCAGCATCTGACCATGCATTTGTTCTGTGATCCACTCAGGAGAACCTGAGGGGCCCAACTGGGAACACAGACCTGATGGGACACGCAGGTGGCTCCCCTCCTCACTCGTATAGCTCCAGGAGGCCGAGGGTGCCTTGGATGCAGCACCCACTGCTAAAGGACTGTGCCTGCGGCTCTGGTCATCCCCACCTGAACTCACGATGTCTCTGGTGCCTGGCCTCTGGGAGCCTGGGTGGGGACTCCCACATTGGCGTTTGGGTGACACAGCTGTTCCCATTCATCCTCGAGGTCCAAGATGTACCTTCAGAGCTCTGCCTGCTCAGCCTGCCTGTCCCCTTGGTGGGACGAGTCAGGGACAGACTGGTGACTTGTGGCCCGCATTATCTGCACTGGTCTGAAATCCAGGTGAGGGTGCTCCCAGGATCTGGACAAATGCTCCATGGCTAGGCGGGAGAGGATGCTGTTTTGCTTCTAGTCTAGGCTACCCACCATCTTGTTCTGACAGGTCCTCTGAGGGTCCCCTTCCCGAGGCTGCACATTGTCCCTGGTGACCCTGTTCAGAGCTGGGTGCTGCCCCAGGGGCAACAACGAGGGGAGAGCCCCCAGGGCACAGTCTGGTTCTCCAGGGAGGAGCTGATGGCAGCCGGGCCAACAGATTCCCTCCAGCAGGCTGTGCGAGGGGGGACGAGAGCAGTAGTGTATGCAGCATGCAATAGACTAAAAAAATCAGATTCCTGGATTGGTGGGTTCTCTAGCTGTCTCAGCTCTACCAGGGAGGCAAAGGCTGGGCACAAATTCTTCCAGGTGTGACTTCCACTCTGAGCTGGCTCCCAGCTCCTCCCATGTGGGGCTGAAGTGGGGGCTCTGCAGAGCGGGCAGGAGGCAGCCATCACTGACATGCCACCTCTCAGGAGGTGCGAGTCTGCAGAGGCAGGAGAGACCCTGCAAAATTGTTGGCTCCAGCAGCCCCCTCTGGACACAGCAGGGTACCCTGGCGGCCCCCACATGGGACTCTGGGCCCAGGAGTAGCTGCCCCTGCTGAAGATGACAAACCAAAAAAAAATTGTTTTTCATGAACAATTTCTTCCTGTATCTTTTAATCATCACATGTGTCACTATCATTTAAAAACGAGAAAGAGACTGCCCACTTCAGTCTGGGAGGGAACTTTTGCTGAAGAGGGTCTGTCCCTCTAGGCCATGTAGCCTACCCATGGGGAGGGCCCCTGCTCTAGGACATAAGCTCTCCAGAAGTCCTGTGACGGAGGGCCTGACTGCATCCTCTCAAGAGTTGGACATTCAGGGGAAATCCTGCTTTGAAAGGGTGTCTCCCATCACTTGGGGCCTGTCCTCCCAACACTGAGCCGTCCATGTGAAGGAGGTAGACAGCCTCAGCCCTGAGCTCCACTGACACGGGGCGGCCATGTGTCCAAATTTTAGTCGCTGCCCAGTGATTCCTGCTCCCAGGTCACCTGGGGTGGATGTGGTGATGGAGAAACAGATGCTGAGAGATGGAAGGGTCAGCAGGGTGGAGAGCCACCTCCAGGCCACTGGTCAGCCTCCCCCAAGGATGGATGTCCAGCACACGGCCTGCAAACCTGAGCTGAGAGTGGCTGCTGGGTGCAGGCGGGAGGTCTTCAGGGGCGCCCTGGGGACAAGCAGGGGCCCGATGGACCTTCCCTCCTAGGAGCTCCATCCAAGACGGACAGAGGCAGAGCAGGGCGGTGCCAGCTGAGACTCGGAGCATGGATTTTCAGTCAGGGTGACCAGGCCACTGGGGCGCAAACGGGCCTTGTTCCCTCAGCAAGACACATGCAAGCACAGTAAAGAACAAAGAAGTGCATGGAATGGAGTTTCTTTTTCCACTGTGGTTTTTTTTTTTTTCTAAAAAAAGCACATGTGTGCTGCCATCTCTGTGCAGAGTAAGGACCCAAAATAAATATGTGATTGGAAACTCAGGAAGGTTCACAGTATCAAAGGCATAGGTAGTTGACGGAGCCTGGGGCCATCGCTCTACAGCTTGGAGCACTGGCGACCGTCGCAGAGGAGAGGACGTGGGCGAGCAAGGTCCAGCGGTGGCCAGGCAGCATGTCCCGCGCCCTGGACCGAACTGGGCGGGCAGCGCCTCCAGGAAGCAACCAGGGTGGCAGTGGGCGCTCTGCTCTAGGTTGGTGACTACATAGAGATTACTGCGGAAGGCAAGAGGGGCAGGTGAGGGCGTGATAGCCTGGGGCCAGACCCCCACCCGCTGGGCCTCCCATGGTGGTGCCTGGCCCCACTGCTGACATCTTGGGCATGAGGGCCAGACACAGGCCCCAAGATACTTACCCCATGGGCCACCTCGCAGTAAGAGCCCAGGCCTGCCCCTCCCACCCAAGACCTCAGTTTCCCCATCTGTTCTTGGGGCGTCTGGGGGGTCATGCTCTTGGCCCACAGTAGGCCAAGGCTGGTGGGCTGTGGGCGCACTTACTGTGTCACTTTCGCCGTCGGAGGCTGGGTGGGCCTGTGTGCTATAGTGGAGTGGGGAGTACACCCAGCTCCTCTCATCAGTGGGCTGGAAGGCGGGCGGGGCGGCACGTGCAGGAAGGGCACAGAAGAGCAGGGTGCGAGGAGGCACGAAAGGTGAGCGGGAGGAAGGAAGACACAGAAATAAAAGAGGCGGACCTTCACTGCAGGACGAATGGGTAGCTCAGCCCCTGGCTGCCCTCTCCCGGGGGACCTGCCCCCAACCTGAATGGCCCTTGGGCTGGCAGGGTTGGGGGCCAGGCCTCTGGGGCTGAGTGGCTGGAGCAGGCATGATGGGCCGCAGGAAGCAGTGAGTGCAGTCAGGAAGAGGAAGGGTGGCGGGGGCTTGGTGTGCTCTGCTGTCCTCTCCCCGTGGCACCCGAACTTCCGTCCTAGCCCAGCAGCACCTCAACCTCAGATCCTGCCTGCCATGTGGGCTCCAGGGGCTGCTGGACCACAGAGCGGTGGTGGTGGTGGCGGGGGCTGGTCTTCTTTCAGCCGTGTCTAGGTTGGGTTCCCCATTCTGTGTCAGATAGGGGGTGGGCGCGCGTCCTCTCCAGGTCTGCTCCCACCTAGAGAACCTCCCTAGGCCCTGGAGGCCTCCTCAGGGCTCCCCCAGTCCACCTTCTCCTTTTTCTTCCTCACGTCTCCCAGGAGCCCACCTGTGGCCTTTAATATCACAAGGCCTAAGGACCTCAAGCCCTGCTTGGCCTCTGCTGGGAGCACCTGCCCTGATCATGTCCACCTGGGTATCCCATGGCCCCTAAACCCACCACAGCCACAATCGACAAGCTGCCAGACCCACCCTTCCTAGCCCACCTGCTGCCTCTCCCCACTTCTGTGCTGCTACCGCACTCTTTCTGTAGTTTTTGCCTCTACACCTGCCCTCACAGACCAGACTCCCATGCTCGCGTGGCCCATCCAGGCTGCTGGGCACCACAGGTCGCTCACTCAGGTCGCGGTGCCTGGCCCAGGGACATGTGCCCTGGGAGGCCTGTGTCCATCTGTGGACCCCAGCACAGGCTCTGCATGTTCCTTCAGACAGTCATGGCACAATAAAAACCCCTGACCACTGGTGGCGGCTTGATCTGCCTCCGCCGCCCACCTGGGAGGCCGGAGGCCAGGGCCAGGCTATCTGGGGGCCGCTTGTGCCCAGTGCCCAGCACAAGGTGGCTGCTGGGGTAGCTGCCCTGCTGGGGCTCAGAACGTGGGACAAGAAGGTCCCCACTGGAACCCTGTAGAGAGCTGAGCCTGGAGGAGGGAGGGATCCAGAAACTGGTGGTGACCTCACTAAAATCAGGCCAAGGGCATGTCCTCCCTGCTTGCCCGAGGGTTCCTCCCACTGCTCATCCAACTGTCCTCCCCCAGTCTCCCCCCTTTCAGCCCCCACGCTGCATCACCTCCCAAGACACCCTTTCCCCTTCCTCTCCACACCCCATGTGTCTGTTTCAAAATCCAGGTCAACCCTCTCCAGGCACCTTTGCTTAATGCTCCCCCAGGAAGCCCATGGGGGCTGCTATATGTCCCAAGCCATTGAATCATGGAGCACCCCTGGAAGGGGGCATCCCCATTTCAGGAGGACAGAGTGTGACAAGAGGGGCTGGGGAAGTGGTCTCCACTCCTCAGGGTGGCTCGGCAGTACCCAACACCCAATGACTTGCAGAGGAGTTTGCTTTGGGGCCGGGGTGTGAGCCTCTGAGGGCCTGCCTCTCGAGAACAGAAATTTTTGCTTCAGTTCTTCACCCTGTTCTGCCTGTTCATGCTGTGCAGCTCTGGGCCCCTCATTTACTGCTCATGATGACAATAACAAGACTGATAAGGCCATCTCTGCATGACAGCCACATAGCTTCCCAAACACGCTGGGTAGACAAGTGTCTACTACACACAGGGGGCTGCTTGGGGGTCTGGACCCAGATTTTGTCTAAACCGTGCGCTCTCATTGGCTCCCTGGGGAACCGAGGCCTCTGTTTCTCCATCTGTGAAATGGGTATAGCGATACCAGCTCCTCTCTCCTGCAGCTAAGAGTCCAGCTTTGCAATCCCTCACTGACCTGTGTGATAGTCCCCGTCACAGGGGCACATGCTCCTTGGGGAGCTGTCAGCAGCAAGGTCCAAACAAGTGAGAAGTGTCTGCCCCACAGGTCCCTGGCTTGGGAGGGCTGGGATGAGGGGCAGAGATGGCCTGCGGCTGGGGATCAGATGCAGACCCCTAAGCCCTGGCAGTGCACCTGCCAGTCGCTGATGCCCACTTCCCATGGGATTAAGCAACATCACTGCAGGATGCACACAGCACAGCGACCCACACAACTGCCCTTGGCTGCTGTGATTATTTTCCCCAGGTCCCTTCTCAGAGGAAATGGGATGGCCAGGTCCCGAGGCTCCCGGCTATTCCAGGCAGCAGGGCTCCCTGAAGGCCTGCTGTGGTCACTTACAGTCCCTGAGGAGCTCAGCGTCATGGCCCGCAGTCGGCGATGCCGGGGAGAGTAAATCCAGTACCTCCCATCCATGAACTGGGCGGGCGGGGCGGGCGGAGGAGGCAAAGAGAGGACAGGATGAGGTGACAGGAATTCGGCGGCGGTCAGGCAAAAGGTCAGGCGGGGAGGGTGCTGGTGGGGGCAGGTGAGCTAAGCAGGAGGAGGGTTTTAGGGTGGCGAAGTCACACTGGCCACTAACCTTCTCAGCCACATGCGGGGGGCCTGGCCACCCACTCACAGGACACAGCCCAGCCGCCTCACACACTGATCCAAAGAACAGGACACTGACCAACCCCAGGGACGGGGAGACAAAGCTGGGTGGCAGCACACATACATGGTTCGCCAGCTATTGCTCCAGGCCTGGCCGGCACCCCACGACCTGGCAGCACTGGCTCAGACAGCAGGGTGGTGGTAGTTATGAAGCAGTGGAAGGAGGGCCGGCTCACCCAAACTGCCCTGAGGCCTGGCGGCTTGGAGGTCGGGTGCCAGGACCGGGGCAGCGGGGAGTCCCCAGCTCACCTTCCACTGGGGGGCAGAGATGAGAATGAAGGTCTGGGAAGAGGGCAGGCACCTGGGCTGCAGCATCCAGACCTCCCTGTTGGCACTGAGGCCATCTGACCCCTGACTCACTGTCAGGGGCCACTGGACTGGATTTGGGGCCTTAGCAGCCCAGCACCCATCTTACCCAGGCTCCTGGCTCATAACCTGTCTGCCTGTGGGAGATACAAGGGTGGGGGAGGTGACCCCAGCTCTGGTCCCCAGGACAGGACCCTTCCTGCTCTGACAAATCCTGCCCTGGCCAGGAGCAGCCAAGTGTCCTTGGAAGTTGACAACATGAGGCCCAACTGCCCCTCACCACAGTCCCCTCAGCCCTTCAGGAGCCCACCTGGCTGTACCCACCACCCAGCAGGAGGAAATCCACAGCATTTCTAGTCCACCTTGGGTAGCCCGGCGCTACCCACCCAGGGGCCCGGCAGGGCTGAGAGCATGAGGACTCTGATGTATCCCAGTGGGATGGGGTGGCACAGCTGGGGCCTTGGCTCGCACCAGGCGGTGGTCACGAGGTCTGGGGAGGAGAGTAGGAAGCAGCTCCTAGGCCTTGGAATGGCCCGGCCTGGGTGGCGCCGGGGCGGGGCGGTCGCACACCATGTGAGTGTGCATGTGTTCGAGAGCATGCAAGTGTCTCTGAGTGCGCAAGAGCACATTGTGAAGTGTGATGGTGGGCGTGCAAGAATATGTGCATGTGCATGTGCATATTGAGAGGCGAGCACATGTGTGCCTGAGTGCATGAGTGCATATGCACACGTAGGACTTTCAAGTGAGTATGTGTCTGTGTGAGCACCTTGCATGTGTGCCCATGTGTCAGTATGACCATGTGCAAATGTGAGAGGCCGTGTGTATGTGAGCATGTGTGTATGTGCATGCATACAAGCTTGTGTGTGCAATATGTGTCAATGTGAATGCATGTACACGTGTGAGCATGTGTCTGGTTGAGAACCTGGTGACAGCAGAGAGCCCCTGGGGGACTTACAAAGTAGATGTCAGTGGCAGGCGCGTCCTCCTCGTCTGAAGCCTGGCTGGCGGGCTCTGAGGCCTGGCTGGTAGTTTCCACTTCTACAACAGCGGCAGAGGTGCAGGCCGGGGAAGTCTCCACCCTGGGGACAGCGAAGGGCACGGGAGTCCTGAAGCAGGGCTCTCAGCAGCACAAGCCTTCCCCAGCCCCCCCACCCTCCTGCCCCCTGCCCCCTGATCAGTGTGCAACCACAGAGACAAAAGTCTCAGGCTGCCAAATTAAACCAAACACCTACCAGTACTGCTGCGGCCCAGGTAAATGACTGGCCCGCTTGGACCCCTCTCCAACTTGGGCACACACACCAACCTGGCCTTACCACTCACTCGCTGTGCCACCCTGGAGCTTACTTACCTTCTCTGAGCCTCAGTTTCCTTATCTGTAAAGTGGGGGCAAATGGCACTGAGCACTTGTTACTATGAGCCTCCTTAAGAGCCTGTGCGAATGAACCCACTGACTCTCCCTCAGGGAGAGGGTGCTGCTGTCCTGTGTTACAGACAAGAAGACTGGGGCTCAGAGAGGTGAGGATCATGCCCAGGCCTCGGCTAGTGATTTTGTGAGGTGACCCCAGCTCTGGTCCCCAGGACAGGACCCTTCCTGATCTCACAAAAAAAATGACAAGCTCTGAGGTGACAAGAGAGCCTCTAACTGTGGAGAAGTTGTTCTCTGGTCATGTTTGAGGTCAGGTTTTGTCTGGGCAAAAGCTGAATGACAGAATACACTGTAAGACTTCAGTTAACAGCAAAAAAGCAGACACTAGCATGTGTGCATATGCGTGTGTATGTATGTAAAATATACTCTTAATGGCAAAATGCAGCCTGGGACTGTGCTGTGAGTGCTAAGTAAGATCTCTTAAATTAGAACAGAGATTCTAAATTATAGTATTAAATAAACCAAACAGATGAGAAAGAAGTAAGAACATAAACTGAATGCCAGCAATCAATACATTGGACAGAACAGGCTTACAAAGTACTTTCCACCCCCCAACAGAGAATACACATTTCTCCATATGTCCGTGGATATTAAAAAACAGGGCCGGCCAAGTGGCTCAGTTGGTTAAGAGCTCACTCAAGAGTTTTGAGCTCTGAGCAACAGGATCCCTGGTCTGACTCACGGCCCAAGCTGAGCTGCCAACAGGTGGCAGGATGGCTCAGCTAAAAAACAAAACCAAACGGGCAGCCCGTTAGCTCAGTTGATTAGAGCGCAGTGCTCATAACACCAAGGTTGCCAGTTCGATTCCCACATGGGCCACTGAGATGCCCGCTCCACAACTAGATTGAAACAACTACTTGACTTGGAGCTGATGGTTCCTGGGAAAACACAGTTCCCCAATAAAACAAAACAAAACAAACAAATAAATAAACAATGTTGTACTTGACCATAAAGATTTTAATACATTAAAAAAAATTGTACAGATTTTATTTTTTAGGCCACTTTCTTAATTCCAAACCTAGCAAAATTAGAAGTAAGTACTAAAAGGGTAAAAAAAAAAAAAAGTCCTTAAGTACCCAGAAGTGGAGAGACACTCCTAAATAAACCTTAGTCTAAGGTGTCTCCCCTCGGCACTGTTGACATCAGGGCCAGGTTACTCTCTTTGGGAGGTCATTCTGAGCACTGTGGGGTGCTGGGAAGCATCACTGGCCCCCACCCACTCGATGCCAGGAGCACCCCTAGTTGTGACAACCACAGATGTCCCCAGACATGGCCCAGTGTCCCCTGTGGGCAGAACTATCCCAGGTGGTTGAAAATCACTGCCCTGGATCAAACAGTACATTAAAAGGAAAATCACTAACTATCCATACATGAGCCAACGTAAAAAGAAACTGCTTCATGTCAAAACTCATGAGACATAGCAAAAGCAGTACTCAGAAGAAAATGCATAGCCTTAAGCAACTCGTTATTAAAGACAAAAAGGGAGCTTAAGTACTCAACCTATACTGAAGAAACAGAAACAAGCGAGAAAACAAATGAGTTTAGAAGGAAGAAATTACTGATGAGTTAAAGTGCATGAAATAAGAACAAAACACAACGGGAGAAAGGGTGACTGAAGTCCAAAAGTGGTTCTTTGAAGAAGTTGGTCAGTTATCCTTTGGTAAGTGCAGGAAAGGCTAAGAGCAAGGGCGGGAAGGGGAAAAGGAGCTGAAGATTATGGATGAGCAACAACCTTAGGACTGAAGCATTATCTGCAGCTCTGCACGTTAATCTGAGGTCCCCAACACCCCATTGCCTGAACCCCATTCCCAGTCCCTGCTCCCCAGAATGCAGACTACATTTTCCAGCCTGCCTTGTTGCAGGCGGGCCACATGACCATACCGGCCAATGGGATAGGAGCAAAAGTCGAGGAACCAGACAACCGGAAAATGTGGATTTGGTGGCCACTCACCCCTCTTCCTCCTCCTTGGGGACCACGATCTCCACGCTGCACGTGGGCTCCACCTGCACCGTAATCTGCTGCAGGTCTTCTTCCACATGCACCTCATCCTGTGGCCTGGAGGCAATGGAGAGCTGGGCCTCAATTTCCCTCATCACCCTCCCTTGGTCCTCAGGAGTGCCCACCAAGCTCTTCCAGGCTAGTGATTTCAGTCCCAGCAGGACAGTGAGTAGGTGGTGAGGTGCCGTCTTCAGGTACCATGCAACCAGCACCCTGAGCTGTCCAGCCCACCCCTGGTCCCTCGGGCTGCCACGTCCTACCTGGGGTATACAAGGGTGCAGTGACTGACCTGGGGCCATCCTGTGACTCTGGCACCAACAGGTATATAATGAGTGGCGACCTGGATCCTTACCCCACTCCTGGGGTGACTGGGCACCCGCCTGGGGCCTGAGCTAGGGATGGGGAGGGTTCTAGAGAACCCAGGAGCCAAGGCCCCTGATGTAGGGGGGTCAGAACCTTTCAGGAACCAGGCAAAAAGGCCAGTAGCGTCAAAACAGGCAGGTGGACAGAGGGAGACACACTTTCCACCAAATGTGCTTTGTACCATGACTTTTTCCACCTGGCAGGAATTATCCCCCAAAAAACTAATTGTGGAAAGGAACCCCTATTCACTGCAGTGGTGTGACAAAATCAAACAACTGAGAACCACCGAAGTGTCCCCCGAGGGCAGAAACAGTCCTTTAGACAGAAGAGAACCAGCAAAGGTTCCACCTGCTCACAGGAACACCTTCATCTGGAAAACTGACAAAGCAAAGGGCAGTGGGGGCAGAGCCACTACTTGTGTCAAAACAAATGAGAGAGGCCGGCCGAGTGGCGTGTTGGTTAAGAGTTGGCTTGGGACGCCAGCTCTGAGCAGCAGGGCCCTGGTTTGGATCTCACATGCATAAGGGCCAGTGACGCTGTGCCCTCTACAGCTAAGATGGTGAACAACAGCTCGACCTGGAGCTGGGCTGCCGTGAGTCGCCCGCAACTGCGTGAGCAGCCAGCAGTTGACATGAGCTGCCATGAGCCACTGTGAGAGGCCGGTGAGTGACTGCCTCACCCGGGAAGAGCGCAATGATAATACCAACATGGGCCAGTGAAGCGATGTCTTCCACAACTAGACTGAAGAACAAAAGGACAGCAACTTGTCTGTTCCCCTTCCCCGATTCCCCAATAAAATCTTCAA